CTCATGCTGAACCATGTCGTGCTCCATTGCTGGCATCACCGTGTCGATGATCTCGCGCTGCTTCCTGGTGAACTGCAAGCTGTCGAAGACGTCGTGGCCGTTGTCCCTGGCTGTCGGAGTACGCGATGCCTTTCGTGAGGTAGTTCGAGTCCTCGAGCCTTTCTTCCAGCTGGAGTCGTAGTTGTGGTAACTGTGGTGCTCGTTCTCGTTGCTGGAGTTGGTCTTTCCATACTGCTTGTGGTAGTAGTTGTGGCGGTGTCCTCTGTCGTTGACGCTGCGCTGGTCGTGCTGGTGGTGCTGTTGAGAACGTCGTCGGCTTCCTGCTCGGTCACGTGCAGCACGGTCTTCTCGCCACGGGAATTGTCTTTCGCCTATCGGGGGACCCGCGGCGCGAGACGCAAGTCCCCCCATACTGTTTCCTCTGGCACCGCTGCTGCCTCCCTTTCCTCTCGTCATCGTCTCGAGCTGGTCCTGAGGCTGAGCGGAATGGTGGGCCGCGAGCGTCCTGGCAGCGGACACGACCCTCAGCAGGGTCCTCGCCTGCGCTCGCTGTTGGCGCTGGCGACGATGCCAGGCGGGCTCCGAGACCCGCGGCGTCCTGGCGGGCGCCTGCCGCGGCCGCGGCGTCGATGGCGCGCGGCGCGCGAGCCCGAGCACGAGGGGGCGACCGACGGCGACGACGGCCCCGCCCCCCTCAGCCCGTGGCTTCCTCCTCCTCCTCCTCCTCCTCTTCCTCCCTCCTCCCTCATCCATCCTCTTCTCCTCCCGCCTCCCTCCTCTCTCCATCGCACTTAGGACCAAGCTCCCGCAAGACAGAGCTTCGAGCACCCCGAGAGGTATCGTAGCAGGGTCTGCCCGACACGCTGGCGAAGGGCCGACCCAATCTCGCCTCCCGGGGCCCAACGCGCAGAAACCCTGCAGCTCCGCTACTTCCCTGGTGCCCGAAGTTCTTTCTGGTGGTCAAGGCGAACGCAGGTTGGAACATCATGACCCCGTACTTACAGTCGAGGTAGTACCAGAAGGAACGCCAAATAAGGAACAAAGGGCCTTGTCTGGCCACGGTGGGCCTGGGCCACAAGCAGATCCCGCGACAGAAGTCTAAGAAACGACTCAAAGTCCCGAGCCCCTTCCGAACCCAAAGCGGTCCTTACTTCAGCGTCTTGGCTGTGTCCCAGGGTCCAGCCCGACCAGTTTGTTTTTGTTCGACGAGGCGACGCGGAGCCTCCAGGAGGCTCAATGGACACCCAAGCGACAAGGCGACGAGCCTCCGAGCGGATTTCCAGTGGCGGCGAGCAGCCCCCAGGAGGCTCAACGAAGGACGAGAGCGCCAGCGACGGCAGCCGCCGTCGGGTCCTTCTCGGAGCGAATGCGCAGTGAAAGACAGGCTCTTGCCCCCCTCTCGGGCCGGGCGAAAGGGGGGGATAGCAAAGGGGGGGTTTGAGAATCAGCCCACGTAGCTGATTTCAGCGGCGCCTCCCGGCGCCGGAGACGGCTATGTATCGAGGAATGGGCCCCTCGGTGGGGCCGAAACCAGCTGCATGCAGCAAATGTCCTACCCACCCCCTTTCCCAATCCCCCCCTTTCGTCCGGCCCGAGCCTCGCACCTCCTCGTCCCAACTCCTGCCCGCATCATTGAATCTTGATTTCTCTGGTGCCCACGACCGGAGAACATGTCCGTGTCCGTGCCATCGCGGTCTGGACTCTGGCGCGCGATCCCGCGGATACGTGGTCGCACGGATACGTACCGCGCGGGGCATCCGCGGCAAAATTCTCATAAGGCAGGGGGACTTCCGAGACTCCTGAGAAGGCCAGCCCTTTCACTCCCCCCCCCCGGGCGCGCCGCCGAGATATGCCTGTCGCCCGCGAAATACAAATGAGGCCAATCCACAAGAAACTTTCCACAAGAAACCCAACCATGAAACCCCAGGACTCCCATTGATTCTTGGCGGGAACGGCACGCCTTCGACAGCAAAACCATCGAAACCCAAGAAACCCAGGGCACCTTGGAGGCAAGCAGGGTATTCCCTGGCATGGGCCTCCACTGTACGCTCCTGTCCTCTCTGGCCCGCCAAAGCGACGAGGCCGAGACTGCCCGTCCTCTGGGAAAACAACCCCCCTTGACAAGCTGCCGGGCATCAAACGCCCCCGCGCCGACCCAAGGGGTTCCGCGCGGAACTCCGAAAATTGATGGTCGTGCCATGTGGGCGGCGACGAACGAAACCGGGTCTCACGCGAGATGGCATCGTAAACTCACGCGGTGGCTTGCGCGGGCCGCCGGCGCGGCACGCCACATTGGAGACGAGTGCGCGCTTACGCACGACCTCACGCGGGCAGCTTGCGCGCCAAGGCCAGCACGGACGACACCGTTTTCTTGGCGTCGATCCTTTATCTCCCTCGAATGAGTGAAGCGCTCACTTCCGACTGAGCACTAGAGGCCTCCTAGATGGTGTGGGGTCCAAGTAGATGGGGTCGAAGGATCGCGCCGCATCGCCTATGCATCGCTGATGTATCGGCGATGCATCGGCGATGTATCGGCGATGCATCGGGGACGCATCGGCGATGCATCGGCGTCAAGAACATCGGGCTCCGCTTCGAGCCGCATCGTCGATGCATCGGCGATGCGGCGCGATCCTCCGACCCCATCTGGGAGGCCTAGGAACACGTGCCTCCTTCGAGCCGCGTGCTTGCCTCGCTCCCGAGGCGCCGCTTGCCGCCGCTCGGACGTCCGTGTCCCGTTCATTCTTCGGTTTCGTGCGTGTTTTTTTTTGTTTTGCTCGATGGTCCTCGGTGGTCCTCGGTGGCTCTCGCGGAGAAAACGTGCACACGTCCGAGCGATGCCGAGGCCGCAGGAGGGCGGGCGGCTGCCGCCGCCCCGCGCGCTTCCGGCTGCGCACGCCGAGCGCCGGGAGGCCAGGCGCTGGGGATCGGCTTGGCCCTGGCGGGTGTTGGCGGCGCGCCCGGGGGGGTGGGGGACTCGCCATCGCTCGGACGTCCACTCCCCGTGCATTCTTCGGACTGAAGGGGCCGCACATTCTTCGGACTGAAGGGGCCCTGGGACACACAAGAAAAATACACAAACAACAGGATTCCCCATATTTGCCCATATGTTCTAGGTTTTTGTCTTCCCCCCACCACTTCCATAGTTTCCCATCTTTTCCTGGGAGTTGACGATTCATTGTGTCTGTGTGTTAGTTCCCCTCCTGAGTCCATTCCACGTGCATTCTTCGGATGCGTGCGCTTGTTTTTCGCACGATGATCCAGGATGCTTCTCGAGGGTCCTCGCGGAGGCAAAAAATGCACACGGCCGAGCGATGCCGCGGAGAGGGAGCAGGCCTTCTCAGAAGGCGACGCGTCTTCTCAGAAGCCCTCGCACCTTCCGAGAATGCGTGCCTGTCTTTGGGGAAGGCGGAGAGACCTCCTCAGAAGGCCACGGAAGCCTTCCGAGCCGTCTGAGAAGGCCCGCCACTTCCCGCTTCCATTCTCGGCTTGCCGCCGAAGATGGCTGGTTGTTCCTGCACTCCTGACCCTTTCTTCTCGTCTCAAATCTCGCCAAGATCTCGTGGGGGGGACGTTCGGATCTAGCACCCAAAATCCGTTGGGCTCCCGGATCACAGCTGCTGCTTGTTATTCCTGTTCCCCCTTCTTCTCCTCACTATTGAGGAGCATCGACAGTGCGGACTGGCATAGGGAGGGAAACATCGACCTGGAATCGGCGATGCATCGCCGAGAGATCGGCGATAGGCCCCCGATAGCGAGTCCGCACGTTCCCCGGCGGGTTGGGGCTATCAGACCCCAATCGGCGATTACTGGGCGATTAGGGATCGATGTGCCCTCCCTATGCATATCGCCCCCTAGGCTTCGGGTGCTGTGCACAGCGTCGATGCACACGGGTGCTTCTTCCTACTCGTGGAGGGTGACTAATTGCCTGTGTGAAGCGACATGTGCCAGTTAGTCTGTCGTCTGGCCAGCGCCACGCCTGGCTGCATTAGCGACGCGATAGTCACAAAGGCGTACGGGACGGCCTACGTCAACAACCCAAATGGGGCACCTATAACCTCCGGCATGTGCTTGGCTTTGAGCTGACGTTCTCTCCCGCACTTCGTCCCCATGACTTGAACCGACAAAGCCGAATCTGCATCCATCATGTCCGAAATGTTACAAAGCGCATGAAGCGCTCTAAATGCATGAGCCATGTTCCACCAGATCAGGGGAGCTGCTACAAGATGCCAACTGGTGAATGGTTGCTGAATCCGCTGGCATTTTACCTCAAGCGGCCTGGAGTCGCACACGAGTTCTCGCAGCGGTTTCAAGTGCCCACGGGACACATGGATGAGCGTGGTGTCCTGAAACGACTGTCAGATTTTTTCAAAGTTGTTGTTGTTGTGTGTTCTCACTTTCTCTCTCTCTCTCTCTCTCTCTCTATCTATCTCTCTCTGTTGATATATCTCTATATATATATATGTACATATATGTGTGCATCAATTCATCTCCCTCCCTTTCTTTAACGGGCAAAGAACGGTATAACATAAACGTTTTCACCGTCGGGGACACCTGCCCCAGCGCGGCTGGAAAGTTTATACCCTTACGGTGGCACCATAGGGGTATAAACTTTCCAGCCGCCCAGGGGCAAGTGTCCCCGACGGCGGAAAAAAATATCTTATACCGTTCTTCGCTCGCTGATTTCTTTCTCTCTGTCGCGTGCACTTGCCGTTCTTATCAATCGATCACCCCCTCTCTCGCATCCTCTCATTCTCCCACTCTCTGACTCGCCCTCCCTCTGAACCTCTCATCGGGTCGGCTTGGGTGGGCGACGGTTGGATGCACCGCAACGGCAATCGTGCCAGTAAGTTCAGAGTATGGCCATTCCGTTGAACATCCAAGTCTCTCTGGCACATCCTGGGAAAGCGCATGTCACTGAGGTGGCACCCCCCTTCTGGCAGCTTCCGATAGACAGAACACCTGGGTTGGATACGCAGCAGGGACGGAGAGCACGGGCGGTCGTCGGAGTTCTTGCTCAGCGAAATCTTCACGCCAACGATGCTACCGCTGGACGGCTTCTTGTCGTCGAACGGCGACAGCGTCACCAGATCGTTGACCGCTCCGACGGTCTTGTCGGTCACCTCCGAGCGGGCTTGCGCTCCAAGCCATGCGGAGCTGCCGTTTCCAGAAGAGGCGGGGCCCGGGGGGGGGGGTAGCTGAGAAGAGGCGGGGCCTTCTCAGAGGGCTCAGAAATGCTCGGGCCTCCTGAGCGGGTCTCCGAGCCGCCCCCGAAGACGCCACAAGAACTGCTCAGGAGGCCGGAGGGCTTCGCAGAAGCCCCCCCGCCTTCTGAGAAGGCCTTCTCCTTCTCACTCGCCCCCCCCTCGCTCGCCGCCGAAAGACACCTGCCATCGCGCCCCGCGCCCCGCGAGGTGCGACGCGCGGTTGCCTCCGCGCCCTCGCGCCCCCCGCGCCGCCCCGCCTGGAGAAGGGCAGCCCTCCGGCCCCGCCCGCCACCCGCGAGGCGCGACCATCTTCGCGCACCCGCGGCCGACCTCGAGGCCGCCTCGAGGTCTCGAGGCGTTCCGACACGAGGGGGGATGTGCCGACCCCCCCTCCCCCAGGCTCCGCGGGGCTCTCGGAGGGACCGGCAATCTGGGGCCCGACCCTGGGAGACACGACGGGGCGGCGCCCACCCGCGACAAAAGGGTGCGCCCGAACAGCCCCCGCGGGGTGCACTCCCCAGGTGTCCCCCCCCGGGGTCCTGAGCGGCCGGACGCTTCGGGCGGAGCTCGGGACTGGGGGAGAAGAGTCGCCTGCGGAGACCAGTTCCAGAAGCCCCTCCTGCGCACACGACTCGGAGTCTGCCGCCGAGGAGGGCGGGAAGGGGGGGGGAGGGGCACGCGCTCCTCCACAGCCCGGATGCCCTGCCCAGCTCGGCCCCTCCCGCGTCCACCTGCGAGGTGCGCCCCGCGCCCGGGCAGGCCGGCAGAAACGCGCGAATACGCCCCGACGGGGCACCGCTCACAGAAGCGTCCGTGAAACCCACGAGGGAGGGAGCGGCGCCACGCTGAAGGGTGAGCAGGGCCGGCGCTATCCCCAGCTCAAATGCACGGCTCTTCGCCTGTCATCCCGAAGCTTCAGGGAGGTGGAAGGAGGGGGAGGGAGGCTTGGTGGATCTTGAAACCTGTCTCGCGCGTTGGTTAGCGTTTCAAGCTCGGCGTCTTGAACATCATAGTATTGAACGCTTCCAAGTCTCCGCAAGAAACTGCACATACAAAACGTGCGCGCAATACTTTATCATAGAATGAACGGGTCTATTGCTTTTCATCGTCGGAATTCCCCTCGGACGGGCCGTGGGCTCCCAACCTTGTTTCGAATCAAATGGCCTGAACCGCGCCTGAACGTTGTTCTACAGCGGTCAACCTTGCGCACGGAAGCCAACTTAAGTCCCCGCCCCATCTATGCATGTTACACCAGAAATGGGCACGATGGAACAACTACGTAACCAACAAACGGTAACACAACCACGCGCGTCCTATTCATTCTCTATCGGTCCAGGGCCATTTCAAACATGTAACACGCTAGTGACGTTTTGTAAAAGAAGCCAGTGCGGGAAGGGAGGACGGAAGGGATACATAACCGAGTTGGTAATCAAGGCACAGAGAGAAAAGGGGCACGGAAGGGGACACCAAGGCGGCACATGCCGCAAGGCAACCCAAGAAGCCTCCAAAACGGCCCAAGAAGCCTGAGGCCAAACTTCCCCTCAGGGCTGTAGAAGATGTTGAAGATCTCGCCTGGTTGGGCTCGCGCGCCTGCGGCTCAAGCTGCTCTGGCCCGAGGTGGCCTCAGCAGCTCGCCGCGGCGGACACGGCTCCCGCTCGTCCGCTGGGCCGTCTGGGCGGCGCCGGGAGGCGCCACCCCTTCGAGCCCCCCCCCCCTCGGCCCACCACCCCCCCGTCGCCGCGCCCGCTGGACTTCGCAGCGGCGCCGCGGCGGCTGCCGCGCCGCTCGCCCAGCCGCGCTGCTGCCGCTCTCGCCGCGGGCGCTCCGGCCCCGCCGCCGCGGGGGCGGCGGGGGCCAGCCGCCGGCCCCGGCGCCGTCCGGGGCGCCTTCGGAGCCGCGGGCGGCCGCCCACGGGGCGGGCCCGCCGGCGGCCCGCGCCGCCGCCGTCGCTTCCGCGGCCCCCCCTTGGCGGCGGCAGCGGCCGGCGCCGGCGAGCCACCTGGGCTGCGCGCTGGCGCTGGCGAGCTGGGAGGCCGCCCTGGCCGCGCGGGCGGAGCACGCCGAGCGCGCGGCCACGCTGGAGGCCGAGCGCTCGTCGGCGGCCGGCCGCGGGGATCGACCGGAGGCGGCGCTCGCGGCTGCCCGGAGTGCTGCGCGCCTGGCGGATCTTTGGCGCGCGGCGGAGGCCGGGCGCGGGGCTCTCATGAACGACGTGGCCGCGCGCGCGCGGCACGGCTGGAGGCCGACGGAACCAGCTGCAGCGCTGGCACCAGGATCGGCGCGCACGAGAACAGCGAGCCGCTGCTCTGCGAAACGCCGGCCTCGCAGTTAGAGCGCTGCGCGATCAGATAGAGTGCCGAGATCGCCGAGCGAGAAGATGCAGGACACCAGCAGCGGGCTGTTCCGCCCCCTGGGAATGAAGAGCAGCGGCGGCGGGGCGCGCCGCTGCCAGGCGAACTGGCGGGTGCAAATTCGGAGCACCGTGCGATCAGCCACAGCGCGGAGATCAGTGAGCGAGACGATGGAGGAGAGTGGCAGCATGCTGCCCTGTGTTCTGTTACCGTCGCCTCGCTCTACGCCCAGCGCTGCGCTGAGTCCTGCGCCTCGCCCCGCGCCCAGCCCGACGCCCCGCAGTTCGCCCAATCCGACGCGTCCCCTGACGCCCAGCCTGGAACCCAGCCCCAAACGACAACGGCGTGGACCTGGGGTTGTGACATTCGCGCGCTTCCCGTCCCACTCCCACGCCGTGCCCGAATTTTCCACCGCTTTGGTGCTCAGTCACTGATCGTGTCTCCTTTGGCCGCGTCCCGAGGTTCACCCATCACCTGGACTGTGCTCTCAGCGAGGTGGGCGCTCTCTGGCCCCCCCTCCTCGCCCCCTTCCCTGGCCCCCCTCTTTTTTGTTTTTTTGTTTTTTTGTTTTTTTTGTTCTCTCTCTTTCTCTCTCTCTATCCCTCTCTCTATAGCCTTTCACCCCGCAGCGGTTTCCTTGACGACCCTGCCGACGACCCCACCGACGCCAAGGCTGGTCCCAAACCCGACGCCTCGCCTGACGCCTTGCCGGACGCTGCTCCCGACGCCGATGCCGGCACCCGACCCGACTCCCCCCCCGACGCCGACACTTGGCCCCAGACGGGGGCACCGACGCCAGCGCCCTCGCCATCGCAGCGCGAGTCTCCGATGCAGCATCTTAGCAGCACCTCGCGGATCATTATTCCCAGGATCTTCGCCAGCACAACGCCCCAACATGCACACCCACGAGCACAGCTGTCACCATCGTCGCCAACGCAGCGCGAGCACCCGAAAACAATATCCCCGCCAACATCGCCATCGTCCGTGCCATCATAGCCATGGACACCTACGTCCGCATCCTGGCCAGCACGGCGCGGATCACCCGCCAGCACTCTCGCGAGCGCCGCCGCGCAAAGTGTGCGCTCTGGCTGCGGCGCCGGCATGGGCACCGACGCCTGCCCCATCGCAAAGACAGCGCAGATCACCGGTGCCCGCACCCTTGCCACTGCGATGCGGGGCGCGATGCCAGGGCCCGAAGCGACCAGCTACTCCAGACTTCGTAATAAAAGGGAGGGGGTCTGGACCCTCCAAGACAAGCCATTTCAGACCTCCCCCGTGGGAGAACCCTCCAAAACATCGTCCCGACCCCCCCAGGCCCTCCAAGATAGCCTGGAAGAGACCCCCCCCGAAATGAGACCCCCCTCCCTTTATTACGAAATCTATCTGGAGTACCATGCTAAAGCCAGGAGTCGAATTCCCTCCTCCTCTCCCTCCTCCTTCTCCTTCTGGCCCGCCCCCTGTCTGATACTCTCCTAGGCTCCCAGGATGAAGGGGGAGGGGGAGGATGAGAGGGGGATAGGGGAGAAGGAGGAAGAAAGGAAGGCGAGGATGAAGAGGGGTGGGCGAATCATGGTGGGGAGAACGGTCAGGAGGATGGCGGGTGAAAGGGAAGAAAAAGAAGAGAAAACGAAACGAAATGTGTGCTCCAGAGGAAGGTTCAGGACTCAGTGCGTTTTCGTCTTTCCTCACTTCCCAACGTTTTCATTTGCCTCCTCCTTTCCTCCTGCTTTTGTTGCTGCTGCTTCTCCTTTTCCTCCCTCCTCCCCCTCATTCAAATTGCCCCTCTTTTCTTTCCTGCATAATGCGTTCCATGTTCCTGCAAGGCGTGGGCACCGTCCACTGGGCCTTTTTTTAAAGACATTTCCTACGCGTGAACGTTCGAACGCCTTCAGCGCCGTGCAGAGCGGAGTAGGGCAACAGACGTCTCGGAGTATCGCAGGCAGCAGTGTCTCGTCACCCCCTCCTGATCCCCCTCTCTCTCCCCCTCTTCCTGCTCCCCATTTGTGGACAGGGCAGGAATGAGGAGGAGGAGGAGGAGGAGGAGGAGGAGGTGAATGGTAAAGCTCGGTGTGGGTGGTGGGGGAAGCGGAACAAAGGAGTTCACGGGCAGCGGAACAGATGCGGGGAGGGGGGGGGACGAGGAGGATGAGAGAAAGAGACAACAACGAATCGAAACCCCTTTCCTCACATGTGGAGGGCGTCCTTTGACATTTGCCCACAATGAATTGTCCACGGGGGCCCCGCGATTTTTTTCTCCGAAAGCCCACGGCGGATCCCATCGCGAGGCCCGCGCCGTGCCCACACGCAGCCATTATCAAAGCTGATCAGCCTTGCGCACCTGCTGGAACTCACCCCTTCTGCAGGCCCCCGCTGCATGTGAAGCTTCGTCTTGACCTCGTCGAACAGCTTGCCTGTCTGCGAATGCCAGCCCACCAAGCACGCGGTCCCTGCGCTCGCGCTTTGGGTCGCCCTGCGCCAACAACCCACGGCGCGCCAGTGGACCAAGCCATCGCAGCCCCGAGCCCGCCCTGCGCCTGGCCGAATGCGCTCCGCACGCGGTGCGCAAAACGTGCGGGCCGTGCGCCTCCACCGCGGCGCCCGCTTCTGCTGCGGAGGATCCTCTGCCTCAGCCCTCTCGCCCCTGCCTTTGCTTGACGCCGCCGCAGCCGCCGCCAATGCCACGCACGAGCATTCGGACTGAAAGCCCCGTCCTGCAAGCTCCTGCCGTGTCATGGCGGCGGTTTGCGTGCGGCCTCTTGCGCATCCTTGCCGATGCCGCCCTCTTCCCGCATCCGACGCACACGATCCGCAAGCCTTTCTTCACCACTTCTTGCGTCGTAAGCAGCAGCTGCGGCTTCGACCTGGCCTTCCTGACCCGCCCAAGCCTGCGCTTTGGACCGTCTGGCCACTCGCCCGCCATCTTCTGGTACCACCCCCCGATGTTCTGCACCGCCCACTTACGCGCGACCAGCTTCGCCAGGTCATTGCTCCCCGCTCCTGGGCGTCTGATGCTTGCTCTGTGGCGGGGCGCCTTCCGGATGTCTCATTACTGGCCTGGGTCAGTGCAAACCCGGGCCAGTCAGGCTTTGCAAGATTCCGCAAAATCCTGCAGGATCCTGTTCCCAAGCCTTGGTCAATGCACCCCTGGCCCGGCAGGTTCCTTCAAGATCCGGCACTCTGGCGGACCCCCGTGTGCATCACCCTTGCCTCTTCAGCCCAACTTGTACACAAGCGCATTCCCTTCTGCAAATTATCCACGATGTCCTCTGGTCCGTGAAAATCTTGTACCGGGGGTAACGCACGCATCCGTGTCTTGAGGAGTGCCCGCAACTCCGCACGCTTGACCGTCCTGCGGATTTTGGGAGCACGCGGCAATGTACCCCACAGCTGCACCTTCAGTGTCCCCACATAACCCGCCCCGCCCGTCTGCGCCAACTCGCTGTAGACCAGCATGGAGAAGAGACCCCAAAACGTCCCCAAGATGCCCCCAAGAGGCCGCCAGAGGGCTCCCAGGATGCCCGTGAGAGCCTCTAAGAGGTGTTTTCCTCCTTGTCTGCATGTTCTCCCTCTCCTCGTCCTTCTCCATCGCAATGCTGCGCGAACGAAGATGACATCGAATCCACGTCGCGACTCCATTCAGACCGCTCGCTGAACTGCAGCGGGGCGTGAACTCAAACTCTCCACTACCGCGAGGACGAAGATGATGTTAGATTCACGGACGGTCCCACTTCGGACCAGTTGTCGGAAGTGTCGTCCCGACACTCGGTAGTCCGTTCGACTGTGTTGTTGCAGAGGCACGATGGTGGGGTTTGCCGCAGGCAGCTGGATAGGAAGTGGTGCAAGAAGCAAGCCGCGGGACACACATGAGGGGGAGGGCTGGGGGAGAGAGGGAACGAGGACGGGCGGGAGCGAGGATGGAGAATGAGGGGAAGAAGGGAGGAGAAAGCGGGAGAAGGGAGTAAGAAAGAGCGAGGAGAGAGGAGCCAAGACGAGGAGGGAAAAAATACCTGCGGCGTCGCAGCAATTGCAACGAAGCAGCGGCGACGGCGAGCTCTACAAGATGCCCAGGCACCTGGAAGATACGAGCCGCCCCCTGGGAAACCCAAGCCGTGAACTCCAGAAAGACGGGCAACCGCAGGGAACTCCCGCACAGCTCGCCCCCACCCTTCTGATATGATCGCGTCGTTGGGCGTGAAGTAATGGGGACGGCTATCATTGGGGGGGGGGGGGGGGAGAAAGGTGCAGCCCTCGCTGCCCCTCCAATCAATTCCCCCCCCTCGTTACGCGCCCCCCGTGAGGATAAATCTGTTCCAGAGCGTTCCAAAAAGATTTTGGAGCGTTCCAGAACGCCCTGAGAAGGCCGCGGCGTCCGAGACAGCCTCCAGACCCGCCAAGTCTCAGAAATTCTCGATAGATCATTACCCGATTTGATCCTCGTCCTGGCTTCGTCTTAGATCCCCCCTCCCCTGATGCTCGCGCCGGCCTCCTGCCACTCCTCCTTCTCCTCCTACTCCTCAACCTCCCCTTCGTCCTCCTCCTCCTCCTCCTCCTCTGCCTCCTCCTATTCCTCCAACTCTTCCTTCTCCTCCTCCTGTGACCCTCGCGCCGGCCTGCAGTATGTTGGCTGGAGAGATCCAGCCCAGGGACAGCACGTAGCCCACGCCGAAGGTGAGGCCCTTCACGTCCGGGGAATTGCCCATCCAGTCGAAGATGTTGCCGTAGTCGAGCCCATCGGAGGAGGCGTGGGCGAGGCCCAGGTTGTGCCCCAGCTCGTGGACCATCACCTGGGCCAAGAAACGACGAGTAGGGGATCGACTGCAGAATTGACTTACCCCAGAATTGAACTGTTCGCCGAATCTACGAACAAATACACAGAACGCTCCGTAGATTTACGGTGCATTTCACGCATTTCTCGTAGGTTCGACGGGCAAACCGATTCTGGGGTATAGCAATTCTGTAGTTGATCCCCTGCTTGAACCTACGGCCCCACGGGGCTCAGCGTATACCAGGAAGTCTGGCGTGGGCTTTTGCATGGTATGTGCGCTGAGGCGCCCGATGTGCCGTAGCGCAATATGGAGGGCCGCAGGTGAGGTGGTGTCGTTTAATTTTGTTGGTCGAGGTGGTGTTGTTTTGCTTTTGATTCGATCACCATGATCTTGCGACTGTCGCTCAGCGTCTCGCAACCGTTGCACAGGGCGCCACGGGAGCCGACCCAGGCCACACCCTTGGTGCCGACCGGGTTGACCTGAGGCGCGATCACGAACACAAAATTGAAATCCTTGAACTTGTACTTCGACCCAAACTTCGGGTGCCCTACCAATGCGTCCCGCGCCCGCTCGTACAGCGTAGGGAAGGGCAACTTGCCTGTCATCTGTGCCCGGTTGTGGTTGAAGCGGACAACCTCTGGAATGACCGTCGCCGTGATCTGGAGCTGGCCATAAGACATATCTCCGAGCTCCTTGATAGCTGCAGGGACAACCTTGTCCCTGTACAACGGCACAGGGTTTTCCATCTGATGCGAATATGGCGCCATCGAGTTGTCCCCGCTCTTCCAATCCATGATGACAACGAGCAAGCTTTTCTTACCCTTTGTCCAGCCCGACGGGGTGCTCCTGAGGCGAAACGTTGGCGGGGGACTGACTCAGGGAGGGGAAGTATCTACCTGGAACCAGGAATATAGATACATCGGCGATAGTCAGACCCCCGATTGCGAAGCCACGCGCCCCTGGGCGGGGCTGACTCTCAAGCATCAATCGGCGATCAACGGGCGAGTAAGGGTCCATGCATCCCCCCCTGATCGGCGGCCAGCCGCAGGGGGAAGTGAGAGGGGGCGGGCCTTCTCAGAAGGCTCGGAAGTCTCTGGCCCCCTGGCTTCTTGAAAGGCCCTTTAAGCCTTGCCCGAAGACACGGGAAACTCATCACAGGGCGCGAGGGCTTCTGAGAAGCCCCGCCGCCTTCTGAGAGAAGGCCTTCTCCCTCTCGCTTTTCCCTCCCTGGGCGCGCCGCCGAATCTGTCAAAATCGGTCCCCGGACCACTCCCGGTGTCAATCCGACGCGGCGTTCTCACCCGGGATCGAGCTTGGCGGGTCCTGGGGCCCGAAAGCGGCCCCCGAAGGCCGAACACGAGGAAGAACCGCCTCGAACCTCGAATCCAGATCCTCCAAGTTTCCCCCCTCGCTCGCCGCCGAGATTGGGGGGGGGGCCGAGGCATCCCACCCCGGAGCCCACCCTCCGCCCTCGCGTTGTCCCTGCAGGCTCCTCTGCGCCGCCAAGTTCAGGAACTCTGGCAGGCTCGGGGCCTCGGGCGTCACCAGGCTGGCTGGCGCATCCACGTCCCGGCTACGACGCCTCGAGCGCAACGCCTGGAGGGCCAGGGACTGCATAAGCATAACCTTCCTGAGCCCACGCGGAATTCTTGCATCGGCGCTGGGCGTCCCTCGGGGTGACGCCTGGGGCGCTGCCAGGGGGCCTCAGCGCAGATCCAAGACATTCGCGCGAAACTCTGGAGTTCACATGTCGTGGGCAAGAGCAGATCCGTTTTCACGGCCGCGCGGGGCTGGGCCCCTGGGCCACGACCCTGCGGCTACAACACGTGTCCGTGCGACTGCGTATCCGCGGGGTCGCGCCCCGCAATCCAGACCGCGAGAGCGTCGATCTGGATGCGCTGGCCGCTCGTGATATATCTATATATACACATAGTATGTATGTATGTGTGTATGTATGTATGTATGTGTGTGTATGTATGTATGTATGTATGTATGTATGTAGGTAGGTAGGTAGGTAGGTAGGTAGGTAGATAGGTATGTATGTAGGTATGCATGCATGCATGCATGCATGCATGCATGCATGTATGTATGTGTGTATGTGTGTATGTGTGTATGTATGTGTGTATGTATGTATGCATGCATGCATGCATGCATGCATGTATGTATGTATGCATGTATGTATGTATGTATGTATGTACGCATGCATGTATGTATGACTGATGTATGTATGTATGTATGTATGTATGTATGTATGTATGTATGTATGTATGTATGTATGTAGGTAGGTAGGTAGGTAGGTAGGTAGGTAGGTAGGTAGGTAGGTAGGTAGGTAGGTAGGTAGGTAGGTGTGTGTATGTGTGTATGTGTATATGTGTGTATGTGTGTATGTGTGTATGTGTGTATGTATGTATGTATGTATGTATGGATGGATGGATGTATGCATGTATGCATGTATGCATGTATGCATGTATGTATGTATGTATGTATGTATGTTTGTATGTATGTGTATGCAAATGCTGTCCGCGTCGAGTCTATGACGAATCCGTGTCGGACTCGACGAATCCCGTCGAATCCGTCGAGCCCGCATCAAGCCCGCGCTGGGCACGAGGAAATACACACAATACACACACCAACCTTTGGGGACAGATGAGGCACCCCGACGACGCATTCAATGTATGTGGGCGTTTCTTCTTCGAGCGCCGGCGCCGCCAGCGCCGTGACTGCGCCGCCCATGGTGGTGGCGCGCGCGGCAGTGGCGTTCGCGGCGGCGCCCCCGGCGGTGGCGTTGGCGGCAGTCGACGCGGCCAGCGGCGCCTGAGACGCGTACGGCGGGGGGGAGTGCGGCGCAAGATACACCCAAGACTCGCAAGAGGCCTCGAGGCCAGAATCGCTCATTTCCCCCAGGTGTTTGTAAATTTGTGGCATCCTCGCCGTTTCGGCTTCCCGAAGCTCCAAGACGGCCCCACGAGGCCCCCCCCCCGAGACCGCCCCAAGACGGCCCAAGAGGCCTCCGAGAGGATCGGTTTGTTGACGTTCACTTCGGGGGGGGAACTCTGAGCCGCGGACGCTTCGTCGGCCAGCAGGTGGTGGCCCCCTGGTTCCGATAGGGACGCTCCCGTTGCCGACGCGGCGGAAAGGGAATTGAGAGGAGGGGGGAGGAAGGGCACCGGGGGGACGGAAGGTGAAGGAAGGGAGGGCGGGGATGGAGTCGGAATAGGAACCAGTTGCCATTGCAAGAACTCCTGAACAAAACCGATTCGATAGCAATCCCCTGCAGCCACCGGGCTTGGTCGGCCTTGACCAGGATTTCGGGGCTGAGCCTATGTCCATGCTGGCCGAAATATGCACGGCCGGTGCGAGTTGGGGTGGTGCAGGACAGGGAGGGACGGAGGAAGGAGGAAGGGTATGGGAGGGAAGGATGGCGAGGGAGGGGAGGGCAGGAAGCACGAGCAGGAGAACAGGGGAGGTAGGGAGGGAGGACAAGGGAGGGAGGACAAGGGAGGGAGAGGGAGGGAGGACGGGGGTGAAGGAAGGGCTTTGGAGGGACGGGCGGCGAGGGGGGGGGGAGTGAGAGCAGGAGGCCCCCCCCCCCGAGCTGTCATCGCCCCAGGGCCCAAGGGGGGGTGCCGGGGCCACCTAAGACGAAGCCAGGACGAGGATAACATCGGAAGAGGAGAAGTCACGAATCTCCGAGATCCGGCGGTTCTGGAGGGTGTCCTGGGCGCGCCGCAGCCTCCTCAGCAGAGCGTTCCAAGGCGCTCTGAGAGTGTCCCGGAACGCTCTGGAACGGACTTCTCCTCGTCTCGCCCAGCGGAGGTCCAGAAGCCCAGGGGTCAACACTTCCGTGGTTTCATCATCGGCTGCGGCCAGGAACGTTTGCACAGCGTGCCGCGGCGGCGGTCCTGGCGACACGCTGTGTGCCCTGCGAACGGACAGCGTGCTGCTCCGCTCCGCGGGCCACAGGGAGCTCGGAGACGCGCGGGTCGTTGGCGCTGTGGGGGCCAGGAAGTGGATAGCGCGTCGCGCTGCGGCGCTGCGGGACAGAACCGGCGGAGCGACACGCTGCCGACTACACGCTCGCTCCACTGGCGGATATCTGCAAAGTCCGACCCTGGAGAAGATCACTGCGAGACACGTTCGAATTACGGGACAGGCTCGCCCTGTGGATGCAAGCCGGAATTCCGAGCTGAACGTGGCGATGCCAAGCTGCAACGACAGGCGGACGAGGTACGGGCTCCACCAACGTATGATTCAAATCGTTATCAAGTGTGCGAGTTCGAACCAGGCTTCGAGCAAACGCCCGACCTCGACGACTTCGGCTGCGCTGCTGTCGATGATCTCGACTGCATAACCCTTTGGCTCATGCCCTCCTCCTGCTCATCTCCCTCATCACCGTTCTTCTCACCTTCCTCCTCCTCCCCCACCACCTCCACCGCACCCTCCTGCTCTACCCACGCCTCCCTCCTCTCCATCCACCTCACCTCTCCCCCTCCCTCTCCCTCGTCCTCCTGTGCTGCAGCGTAGTCATCGGAAGCAAAAGATACTGCCACCTGCAAACAACAAAGCACGACTCAGGAGGCCACACCGCTTTGGGCATCTCTGCCACGCCTTCCCTCCTCCTCTGCACCCCCCACCCACATCCTCCCCTCCCAATCCACCTTTTCCTCCTCCACCCCCGTCCTCCTCCATATCGGAGCAGGCAGAGTTGACACAACGGCAACTCAAATTAAAATCGGTCCCCGGACCTATCCTGGAATCCAAGCGTTTAAGTAACCTCAGGAAGGCATTAAGAACCCCCCCCCCTTTTCCGGTGGATTATAACGCCCCCGCACCCTGGAGCGTTATGGCCGCACCGGCTTAGCTAGGCTTAGCTGGGCGTAGCAGGGCTTAGCAGTGCTTGGCAGAGTTTAGCAAGGCTTTGCAAGACGTGCCAGGGATAAAGGTGCACAAAGATCTGGGCTAGATCCTTGACATTCGTCACGACACCCTCTCTTGGCGTTAGTGGGGCGGCCGCCGATGGTGGATTTTGTTTTCTGTGTGCGGCGGGTGCTAAGTGTATCGTTCGGCTAAAACTGCCCGCCTGGAATATTGAGAAAACCGGGTGCTAAGAATAACCCAGGGGGGTTTCTTAATGCCTTCCTTATTTGTGTCTGTTGTTGCTGATTTCCGAGATGTTTCCAGCTCGCGAGCGGTGAACACATCCGTATCCGCGCCCTCGCGGACTCGATGCCGGAGCGCGATCCCGCGGATACGCGGTCGCACGGAGACGTCCCGCGCAAGGCATCCTCAACAAAAACGGTGCGTATCCGCGGGGTCGCGGCCCAGGTGCTCGGCCCGCGAGTCCGCGGATATGAATGTGTTTCCGCCCACGATAAACAGCGGCGACGAGGGTTCCCCCTGAAGGCCAACTGTCGTTGTCTCCACTCGCCCTCCTGCCACCTCGCTCCTCCGGCCACGACGATCCACCCTGTCAACGCTCACAGACTTCAAACCTGCCAGCTGCCTGCGAGCCGGCCTCGGATGTGCTGGCCTCGACCGTCCCCGTGGATGATGCGGAGCTGGCGCCCGGCGCGGAGCCCATCTCGGAATTCGCGCTGGCGCGGGCGACGTCCACACTGACAGTCGCATCGCCCTGCCTGGAGGAGGAAGAAGAGGAGGAGGAGGAGGAGAACGAGGAAGAGGAGGAGGAGGAGAAGGAGGAGGAGAAGGAGGAGGTGGTGGACGAGAAGGAAGAGGGGAAGGGGAGGACGGAGGAGAGGGAGGAGGGGGAAGACGAGGGGGAGGAGGGGGACAAGGAGGCAAAGGAGGAGGAGGAAGAGGAGGAGGAGGAGGAGGAGGAGAAGGAGGGGGAGAGGGTGGTGGTGGTGCTGGTGGTGGAGGAGGAGTAGGAGGAGGGAGAAGGATGAGGAGAGGGCGGTGGTGGCGGCGGTGATGGAGGAAAGGGAGGAGGGGGAGGAGGAGGAGGAGGAGGAGGAGGAGGAGGAGGAAAAGGAGGAGGAGGAGGAGGAGGACGAGGAGGAGGAATATGATGATGATGATGATGATGATGATGATGATGATGAGGAGGAGGAGGAGGAGGAGGAGGAGGGGAGGAGGAGGAGGAGGAGGGGGAACACGGGATTACGGGAATTCAACTACACGGCCTGAAAAAAAGCTAGAGGAGCACAAGCAAGCGGCAGGTGGCGAGACGACAGACTGCGTGCGAGCTCTCCACGAAACGGCACCACACTGAGCGCCGCCCCATGCCACCCACAGGCACCGTCCCCACAGGCGGCCTCCATGAAACGAGTCAATGAGGAGGAGGAGGAGGAGGAGGAGGAGGAGGAAGAGAAGAAAAAAAACGACTGCAGCCACTAGCCACTGCGCCGTCTAGGGGGTCTTCAGCCCAACACAGCAGCAAAAGTGCGAACTCCACTCCAGTTCGAAGGGCCAGCTCGCGCGCCACCCACCGCACATATCCGAACTGCGTCGGCCCCGCAGGGTTCAGACATCGACACCACTGTGCCGCCCTAAGCCACCCGAAGGGGCGCCACTCCCTTCGGGCGACCCCGCAGCCCCACGCACGCCAGGGCGGGGCACCCTGGCCGTGGGAGGGATGGGTGCGGGATCCCCCGATGGGCCCCACGCAGGGGACACGCGACACCGTCCGAGCCCAGGCGGGGTACCTGGTGGGCCACCGCAAGGGTGCCGCAGACGTGGCGACGAGGGAGCAATGTTCTCTCCCCCAAGCCCCCAACGGGCAAACTGGGGTGACGAACGGGCCCCCAGTTGTTTCTCGCTCCGCTACGTCTGCGTTACCATTTCTCAATTTAGTCGCGCTCCAGGCTGCAGCCCTAAGTTTGTGCAGCGTCAAGGAAGGAGGAGGGCACATCCCTGGAGGATTCAGATGCCAGCAGCGCAAGCGCCAGGAGTAGGAGGAGGAGGAGGAGGAGGAAGAGGAGTAGGGGGAGGAGGCGGAGGAGGGGGAGGAGGGGAAGAGGGAGGAGGAGGAGGACGAGGAGGAGGATGAGCTGAGACGATGATGCGGAGGAGCCATCTACTGGGTCTTCATCCTTTGCGCCTCGCGCTTGGCGATGCACGACGCGCGGCTGTTCGCGCCCTTGCGCCGACCCTGGGAGAAAGGCAGTGGCTCCCTGGCCCAGACAACGACGCGCGACGAGCGATTACCTTCGTGCCCCCATGGGCGACCTGAATCTACCAGGGGCGGCAGCACAAACAGCATGAGCGTGCGCGTCACCTGGAATATGATTCGGCAGCTTGGGGTGATGGTGATGACGACGATGATGATGCTGATGCTCATGATGCTGATGCTGCTAATGCTGATGATGCTGATGATGAAACTGGTGACGACGATGATGATGCTGCTGATGATGACGAACGGCGATGCTAATGACGATGATGATGATACTGATGATGATGATGATAATGATGATGATGATGATGATGATGATGATGATGATGATGATGATGATGATGATGATGATGATGATGATGATGATGATGATGATGATGATGATGATGATGATGATGATGATGATGATGACGACGACGACGACGACGACGACGAGGACGAGGAGGAGGAGGAGCAGCAGCAGCAGCATCAGCAACAGGATGGCGACGATAAGGCAGAGGGGGCGCGGAAAACGATGGAGCAGCAACAGCAGTAACAACAACATAGCCACACTAATGAAGAACAGGGCGACGCGGAAAACGTGAGAAGCGGCGGAAGCGAGGGGAAGCATGGATGGAGCGTGGTGAGGAGGGAAGGTAGAGGGTCCAGACCATGGACGAGGTGGACGTGAAGGAAGCATGTACCAGGGCAGGCGCAGGCAATGCAGTGCGGGCGGATGCTGTCGAGGACGACGGGGATAGCGGAGGCCGACGAGGATGCGGAAGAGGGTCCCCACGAGGACGGCGAGGAGGCGCAGCGGCAGCAACAGGGAGAGGAGGCGGAGCCGGTGGCGGAGGAGAGGGGCGCGGAGGGGGATGCGGGAAGGATGGGAGCACGGGAGGGCGGCGGAGGGCAGAGGACGAGAAAGAGGAGGCGAGGCCAGAGGCGAGCGCAGCCCGCGAGGCTCGAGCCTCTCCCATCTCGAGGGGCGCGGGCGCACCGAGCCTCGAGAGCCCTTCCCCCCCCGCCCCCCCCCGCTGCACCCCCGCGGGCGTCCCGGGGCTCGAGCGCCTCTCCTCCCGCGCGGGGGGCGCGGGACGCCCCGAGCCTCGGGCCCCTCCGCCCTCGGTGCCCCGCGGGCGCCCCGCGCCCCCCAAAGGCCCCGCCTGCGGGGCGAGGCAGGGGGGAAGGGGGGCGGCAGCCGTCGAGCAGGGGGTCGACTGCAGAGCCGACTTGCCCCCAGAGAGGCTTTCTCGTCGAACGCGCGAAGAGTGCAGCGCAGAGTGTTCGCAGATCTACGGGCAACGTCTGCCAACGACACTGCCCCGAGACAGCCCGCAATCGACGTTTCGGGCATCCCCGAAAAGCTGTGGACCTACGTCAGGCCACGAATTCGGTGTTGCCAGGGTTATAAGTGGCATTTTGCCCAATGACCAAATGGAGCTGGAGCAGGCGCGGCGCGCTGTGCCCGGGACCCGGTCTGCAGGCGGCACTCTCCCGAGGCAGCCCGCTGTGGGGCAACCCTCCTCGGCTCCGCGGGAGCAAGCGCGCGTTCCCGTCGCTGCCGTGTCCAAGGCCACGCCAACGACCTCCGTGCCCACAATGGGCCCGCTGCTACAGTCCGCCGACCCCTTGGGATCACGGCGTGTGAGATGATTCCCCCTCCCCAAACCCCTCACCTGGGAGCAGGGGGAGGGGGCGGGGGGGGCAAATGCGTCAGCCGCGCGCTTGGAGCCTGAGGGGCAACCAAAACGAGCCAAGACTCCCAAAAGGCCCCCCGGACGGTCCCGAGGTCGCTCCCAGACGCCCAAGATTGCATCCAGAGTGCTCTGGAGGCCCCTGAGACGCCCTACGAAGCCACCAAGAGGCGTCCCAGGAGGCCCTAAAGAAGCAGAAATCTACCCATTCCTTATCGAAAACGTACATACTTAGCACATTCGCCTCTTGGGCGCTCACGAGGCCCACAACGGCCCAAGAAGCCTTCGAATATCGACCCCAGACAGCCCAAGAGGCCCCCAAGAGGGCTCCTTGATGGCCTCAGAGGGCCCCAAGAGAGACCCAGAAACCACCAAGAAACCACAACGGCCCAGGAGGGTCCCATGACGGCCCCAAGAGGGCCCCAAAATGGGCCAAGACGGTCCCAGAAGGCCTCATGGACGGTCCAAGGGGGCTACGAGACGTCGAGGCATCGCTCCAAGACGCTCAAAATTTGCATCCAGACGGCCCCAGAGGCCCCAAATACGCCCCGATGGGCCACCATGAGGCGTCCCAAGAGGCCCTCAAGAAGCAACTATCTTCACATCCCCGAGGGAAAACAACATTCTAAGTACAGTCGCGTCTTGGGCTTTCACGAGGCCCTCAGCAGCCCAAGAAGAATACAGACCCAAGACAACCCAAGAGGCTCCCAAGAGGGCTCCAAGAGGCCCAAGAGGTCGCCAAGTGGGCCCTCGAAGGCACCAAAACGGCCCAGGCCCCAGGACGGCCCCAAGAGGACCCCAAAATGGGCCAAGAGGGTCCCACAAGGCCCCCTCGACGGTCCAAGAGGGCTATGACTCGTCAGGAGATCGTTCCAGGACGCCCGAGATTACCTCCAGAAGGCCCAAGGGGCCCCCTAGAGGCCCCAAGAAGCCACGAGGCGTCCCAAGAGGCCCTCAAGAAGCAAAAATCGTCCCACTCCCTAGGAGAAACGCAAGTGTTTTGCACATTCGCCTTTTGGGCGTTCACGAGGCTCACAACAGCCCAAGCAGCTTCCAAGACGGCCAAAGGGTCCGGCGGTGCGGCGTAAGCCAATGAATCAAATCGCACAACAAGGATGGCAACAAGTCAGAGGAGGAAGATGTACCCACACCGCTACCCTTTCCTTGGAATCCCATGTTTGGGTCTCCTCTCCTAGGAGGCCCTCGTCCCCAGCGCTGGATTCGCCTCGGAATCCTAGTCAGAGCGCACCCCCGAAGAGGTCTGCGGAGCAGCGGTATCGGTACCTTGTAGCTTCCCCGGGTGAGGATGCAAGGGCTTTAACGGGCCATGTCGGCGTTTTCGAACGGGGCTGTCCAACGAAAGTTGCCAAGGATGGGCCGAATGGGGTAAGGATGCAGGGAGAGCCTTGGAAAATGGCTCATCCTTACTATACGCCTTGACTGTAACCTCCGTGCCCACAGTGGACCCGCCGCTATCCACTCCCAAGCGCACAGACCAAAAACAGAACGGCACCGAAACGAGATCCGATGCCATAGTTCGACATGTGCGTGAACACACACACACGAACATATCGAGCGATGTCCCAGGACCCCAGGATGAAGGAGGATGTGGGTCTCGTCTGGACCCCCTTTGGCCAGATAGTATCCATATCCACTGCCTCTTGGGGTCCTGGTACATCGTTGCCCCAAGCGATGGATATGTAGAATGTTCGGCCCGGGCTGAAACGTGGCGCACTGCTCGCTCCATCTCCGCATCGCTGGCCCCGCGTCAGCCGCGGCATAGCCGAACTGGCGTGCTGTGTTGGGGGTTCGCAATTCGCATAGCATGTTACTGTCTGCCCCGTGATGTTACAGATTAGGTGATGAGGCGGCGGCGACAGGAGACGTAACAGGAAGATCGCATGAACATGGAGAGCAGCCGTGAGGGCACGTGGAGCAAGGAGATGAGCAGCGAGCGAATGAGGAGGATGGAGGCAGGATGGAGCCGCCTCAAGAAATATCGGCTGATGGCCTCAACGTCCCAGTCGACAATTTCCAAGTTGCCGCCGATCTCGCAACGAATTTGATTGCAGGTCACGCTGCACCGTTGGCAAAGACGGCGAAACAGAGGAAGAGAGGGGGAGAAGGGACGAGGATGAAAGACGCAACAAAACCAAGCAGGCGTCAGGACTCGTAGCCGTGACAGCGAAGACTACACATCAATTACACCCTGAATTGTTCCTGAGGGGGGGCGGGGCGGGCTCCAGAAGCCCAAACGCACTCGCCTTCCCCTCAATCTTCTCATCGATCCCCCGTCTGCTTCTATCCATCCCCCTGCTCCCCCCTAATACTCTCCCATCTCCCCCTCACCACGTCCCCCCAGTTTCCGCCCTGCCCCCTCCCTCCTCTCCCCTCCAATCTCCTCCCACCCACCCCCCTTGTTCCTAAGCCCCCGTCAGGCCCTGCCCCGCCCCCCTTACCTCCCCCCCGTGAGCTAGACCAGGCTGGCGGGGACAATGTGGATTTCGCCCCTCTCGTCGGGGGTTCGGGGTCCATCCCGTCTTTCCCTGCTGGTCTGTGTTACCCTTGACTCCAGAAGTGCCCCACTCCTTGCTACAAAAGGACAGCACATAAGCATACAGTGCGGGCGCGGCCGCAAGAAACCATCGCAAGAAACCCAGCCCTGAGAACCCGTGCGAGGTGCACCTGAGGGGAAACCTGGAGCACCCTGAACGCAGCAGCTCCTTCAACGGCTGCGGGAAGTCACCGCGCAGCGCGAGGAGCGAAGAAACCCAGGATACCCTGACGAAAAGCATATGGCTTCTTGATGCACGCCCCCACTGTACATGATCGGAGCTCCGCGCGGATCTCTTGGATTGGCGCTGGGCCCCCACCCGTGGCGCGCGGAGCGTGCCAGGTGCGGCGCGGGAGGCGCCGCGAGGGGAGTCCGGCGCCGATCCAGGAACTCCGAGAAGACGCCCGAACGCTCATGTGTACGCAATATAGTCGGGGCGTCGACCTAAGGAACCCTAAATAAGGAGCGAGGCCCCTGTCCCCATGAGTTACACTTCGGTCCCCCATGGAAAGCCTCATGAACACCTAAGGCAAGCTGTAGAACAATCAAGGAGCACCGAGCCCCTCCCCAACGAAAGGGGTTCCTTCTTCAGCGCCCCGGCTGTATTCTGGTTGTTTCTGATGCCCTCACCGTCACGGAGCCTCCTGGTCCCACCACCCCCTTCCCTGCCGCCTCTCCCACTTGCCCCAAACCAACAGGGAGCAGAAAGCCCGAGCTATCAATGACCAAGCCTGCGAACGGCATCGCAGGCGAAGAGGATGAAGTGAGTGGCAGAGAGACGCGACGGAGAAAGGACGCAGGCGGAGCGAGGAGGGAGGTGGAACGGAATGGTGATGATGCGGAGAGGATGATGGAGGCGGGAGATGTACGATGCAGCAAAAGGAGAAGAGAGGGAGGAATCATACTGACGCTGAGAAGGATGCCGACGGAACGATGACGGATGAGGAGAAAGGTTGCCCAAACGCCCCTGGTAACTCAAGCAGGTAGGAACAACACAATGGCAATCTCAACACGGGGGCGGGCCAGCGCAACATTCAACACATTGCTGTCCGCGTCAGGGTACGACGTTCCACCGCTGATGTGGAGGGAACCGAGGAGCAGGAGGGCGAGCAGGAGGGAGAGAGGGCGAGCGAGCGCAACTCGAGCGTAAGCAATTCGCGCAAATGTCCTTCTCTAGGGCCGCCCGCAACAGAGATGCAGATAGTGAAGAGGCGGCGGCGGCAACGACAGGGAGGCAGACAGAGGGGGGGAGGAGGAGCACCAGTGGAGAAAAAGCGGGCCCGCACCGCCTCCCGGCAGCGCCAGTGCCATCCGTTCGGAAGAAGTCGGCAGATGCATGAAGTAGGAAAGCGTTGAAGCCAGATTGACTTTCCCCCCCCCCGCTGCTGCTGTCTGTGCCAGCTCAAAGCTCCCACCGCCCCTCTACTAGAAAACATGCTGCTCAGAAGAGTGAACAAGACGCAGAATAAGAATAATCAGCCCACGTCTACAAGTTCCCGAAATTGGGATTGGCTTCCTCCTGCCCCACATCTGCGCGAATCATCAATTTCTATGTTCATGCCACGTCACGCGGTCCGAGAACCGTTTCCATCCCCGCTGAAAGAGGAAGGAAAAAACAACACCACTCGACACTTGCAACAGGAAGGCGCCATGGGCAAACTGTGATCTGGGAGCCCCTAAATACATACTTTCAAAGACCGGTGGGTAATGCTCATCGGAAAAGGATCCACAACCTCCTGCGCAAGACATCCACGGCGCTGGCTGCTGGAAACGCAAGGCGAACGCCCACCTATTGGGAACAGTGCGAAGGCATGCTTGATCTGCCGCTGGTTGCACTCTGCCACTGAGGCGCGAGGCATTCTAAACCACAGATTCGACAATACCACCTGCACATACTGATTATATGAGGCGGCGCCAAGATGCTCAGCAACAACGGCATGGAAGGCGAACGGACAGAAAAACAGGACTATGATAGTAGTGCTGAGGGAGCATGATGAGGAGGAGGGAAGATCCCCAAAGATCTGACGACTCTTCTCCAATCCGCTTGCGGGGACAAGTTAGATACATCGAACGACGTCAAGGAACATGCAGATACACCCAGGTAAACTCTCAGGCAACTCGATGTACATCCAGAGATATCCCGACAAATCTAGAACAAGTCGTGGAAGCTCCAGCGCGAGGAGAAAGGAGGGAGGGCGGGAGGAAGTAGAAATAGCCACGAGGAGGGAACATGCGCCTCCTCCACGAAACCCTGGCACAACGCCTCCGCCGTGGACTTGTTGGGGAACGCCAACCGGGTGGTGCCGAGCCAAACCTCTCACGGAGAGGCCAGGGGAGGGAAGACGGAGGGGGGGAGGGGGAAGACGGGAGGAAAGGTGAAGGCGGGGGACGAGGAGAGAGAGGGACGAAGGAGGAGGGGGCTGCATGGCTTTGAGGGAACGGGATGGGGGAAGGAGGAGGGACAGCGGAAGCGAGGGACGGGGAGGGGGTCATCTACATCCATCCGCATGACGGTGCTGGCGGCGCTCTGATCGAGACAACATCGCATGCGTTCCACCCTGTCGGCTAACTGGACGTTTGACTTGCTGCGAAGCGGGGCTGGCCATCGTGTCGCTGGCAATATCGGGCACCGCCCTCTGCACACTGCTGTTGGAACTGCAAGAGAGGGCGGCGGAGCTTCTCAGACGCCCTCCGGCCTTCCGGGAGGCCGCCAGCGCCCTCGGTGGAGGCTCAGGCAACTCCTCGGAAGGCCAGAGACCTCCGGAACTCTCTGGGCACGACGCCGACACGTGTGCCTTGGAGACCGTGCTCACCCTGCCGCGGGGGGGAGGAGGAGGAGGAGGAGGACCAGGAGGAGGAGGAGGAGGAGGAGGAGGAGGAGGAGGAGGAGGAGGAGGAGGAGGAGACGGAGGAGACGGAGGAGGAGGGGGAGGAGGAGAAAGAGGAGGAGGGGGAGGAGAAGGAGGGCGCGCATCGGCGCTCGCCTCCCCTCTGCGGCACTTACCGTGTCGGCTGTCCCGCCACAGGTTGCGCCACGGGCTGCCCTCGCGCCCGTGTGGTAGGAGGCGAGCGGAGCTTTTTTCCCCCTGGACTGCCTCGAGGGACAGGGGGGGCGGAGGATGTGGGGAGGGGTCGGGGGGAGGGAGGGGGGCGGGCGAGAGAAAGGGATGGGGGAGGAGGGGGGATGGCCAAGCCGACCAAGGTCAGCATGCGACCGAAGCGTGTCGCATCGGAGGCGCGAAACAAGCGTGCAGGGCGGGGGGGGGGGGGTAGCGAAGGGGGAAGCAGCAGATCGGCTGGCACCCCTCCTAAACCATGTCCTTATCATCCTGCTCCTGTGATGATGATGCAGATGATGATGGGCAGGCAATCCTCGTAGCCATCATCGGTGGGATTCAGCGCGTTGCCCTCGATGTCCATCGTGGTTGGCACGCACGGCGTGGGTGTTGCGTAGAGTACCTGGGCCAGGCCGCCAGGTGGACATCTTACAGTCGGACAATGGCTGCGTGGCCATGCCGCGCACATGAAGCCCATCCGCCACCGTGCCGCTGGGCACGGAGTGGGCGTGTCCTCAGGTCCTCTGCCTAATCCTCTGACCCTCACTGCTCACTCCTCGCTCCTGGATCCCTCGCCCTCACATCGCCCCGCCCCGAGCTCTCCGTGCGCCCCCTGGAGCTTCCCGCTTGCCCCGCGTGCCCCAGGGGCCTTGCCAAGTGGTGGCGCGTGACTCGTTCGGGCCCACGAGGGCCCCAAGACGGGCCAAGAAGGCCCCAAGAGGCCCCCCAAGACGATCCAAGAGGGCTCCGTGTCGCCGAGCGACCGCTCAAGATTGCCCCCAGATGGCCAAAAAGGCCCCCAAAGCGGCCCAGAGACCCCAAAACAGCCAGACGGCGAGAGAGCGCCCCAAGAGGCCCCCTAAGAGGCTCCCAAGAGGCCCCAAGAAGCCCTACAGAAGCTCCCAAGAGGCGCCCATGGCCCCCACAAGAGGCCTGCAAGAGGTCCCAAGGAGGCCCCACAAGGACTGGATTGTACGTGCTCAGGACGAGCGCCCCGCGAAGCGACAGGAATCAGTGTGAAGTTGCCCCTCAAGGAAGGATCGCAGATGGCAGACAGCGCTAGTTCAGACCTGGCGTTGTACGCAGCGGGGGCCCACGACTTCGCCCTCCGCCATACCTCCAATGCGAATGATGGCGTTCACCGCCCTCGCCCTTTCCAGGTGAAGAACAAGTCGCGTAAACATAAACGTTCGGAGGTAAACGTTCGGAGGTCCTGAAAAATCATTGTTATCTGAATTGTTTCTTCTTCGGTCCTGAACTGAACCCACATCGGAGACGGCAAAACGTACACGGTACATCAACGGAACAGCTACACGCGTGCACCAAAACTGTACTACCCATGTGTCGTCGGGGAGAGGGGGTCGCCGAAAGACGCGGATGGGCTTCGGCGCATCAACTGCGAGACGCGGCTCTTCGGTCCTCCTCCACCTCCTCCTTCTGCGTCCCCTCCTCTCCGCCCCCATTCCCCCCTAGAAGAAACAACAACGCAAATACATACTTCCGACCATCTGCTCGGACTGCCCTCCATCGCTGCGCGAAGCGCGCCAGGGACTGCGCCGGAGGCGCCGCCAGAGGGGGTGTCCAGCTTAGATCCACAAAATCCGAGCGTCCCTTCGAACCTGTATTGGGGCGGGGAGCGCGGGGGAGAAGCGAGAGGGGGCGGGCCTTCTCAGAAGGCTCGGAGCTTTCCCCGAGGACACGGCAACTTCTCAGAAGGCGCCGAGGGCTTCTGAGAAGTCCCGCCGCCTTCTGAGAACGCATCGCTCGCAGCCGATTGTAGCTTACGCCGTCATTTCTTCTTCAATCCCCTCCCTCTCTCCCTGCGTACCTCGGGAGCAACCAAGTACTGATACCGCTGTTCCCCGGAACCCTTCGGGGTACACTCTGACGGCGAACGCAGCTGTGACGATCGGGGAGGGGTGGCGCTGTCGGTAATTAGGTGTTCCTCCTCAAAACCTCCTCCCCGACGACAGCCGGAGCGCAACGAGACGGGGGGGACGGCTCACTGGGGAAGAACCTCGACCTGGACAATCGGCGATACATCGCCGACCGGTCGGCGATCGGCCCCCGACAGCGAGACCGCACTGAAGGGGCCCTGGGACACACAAAGAAATACACACAAATAGAAGGATTCCCCACATTTTCCAGTATCTTCTGGGTTTGTTTGTCTTCCCCACCACTTCCCATATTTTCCCATATTTTCCTGGGAGCGGACGATTCATTGTGTCTGTGTGTTTTTTCCCCTCCTGACGGCACGTCCACTGGCGCGGCGGGCGCCCCGCTCGGCGATCCGTGGGCGCCTGGGGGTCGACGCGTCCCCCCCGCCGCGTGGCCCGGTGGCCCCCTCCTCCCGCCCCGCTCGCACCCGGGGAGAGCCCACAGTTACCAGCCTCGAGCGTATCCCGATCCCTAAGATTGACACGCCAAAAAGGCGATGGCGATCTCAGGGATGCGCCCTCAAAGAATCAGGGAATCCCTGAGATTGGCGTCGTGATGAGGAGGTGCCCAGCATAGGGATAGGGATATGTTCCAGGCTGGTAACCCCAGAGACGATGTACGCGCTCGCCGGCATGCGCGAACGCGGCCCCGGGCCCGCGAGACCAGCCTGGAGTTACGAGCGCTCGCGCAAGGCATGCGCCCGACATCTGCGACGCCGCGCGCGCGAACTTGGACTCACAATGCGTGGATCTGGCGCGTCGGCGCCGAACCCCATGAATTCTGGGACGGTGCCCCCCGAGACATGAGACCGATGCCGCCCGATGTGCTCCTGCACGGACGCGGGCCCAGTCGCCAGTCCACGCGACTTCGCCCGTCTGTGCGCCTCCTCGAACGGAACTGCTCGAGGAACAAACAATGACATGAACATGCACTTCCGGAGGTCCGCGCGGATTTCTTGCATCAGCGCTGGACACCCTCCCTGGCACGCGGAGCGCGCCAGAGGCGCCGCCAGGAGGTGCCAGCGCAGATCCGAGGAATCCGCGCGGACCTCCCGTCTTCATGTCACTGCTTGTTCCCCGCACTGTATGCACGCGCGAGTCTTTTCGCCTCCGCGAAAAGGAGCGCACGGGGCGAGGCGCCGGCGCGGAGTCCGACTGCCCGTCGCCGAGGCACAGGAAGCCCGCCACGGGCACCTGGCGAACGGGCGCGCGCTCGTGGCGGGGGGCGCCAGCGCCCATTGGGCAAGCTCCGCCCTTCGACGGCCGCACGTGCCGAACTCCGGTCTCGGTGGCAACGCACGGAAGCCTTCCATGCAATCTTGTTGCCCCTTGGAAAGGAGCGCTGACTGACGATGGTCGACGCTGAGTCGACACTCATTGACGCTAAGTCGACGCGAATCAATGTTCAATCGAAGCCTTCTCATGGATTACCTTGGGCTAGCGCACGCTGGTGCACTCGAACCGCGGGCTTGCGAGGACATATGAAGCTCACATTGCATGTGACCGAACCAGTGTGTTGGCACCTCCGTCGGATGGTAAATGAAAGAAATACCCCTAACCCTTTGAGAGGATACCTAGGCCAGGAGGGCCAACAACATGAGGGAGAGGGAGTCTTTTCTGCAGGTGTATCAGACCCAAACGCACAGATATATCATTCTGGATGCAGAGACGGGGACCTCAGTGAGGCCACGTCTTCACTTCGCTATTGGGGTTAGGGCTAAGTTTAACCTCGATGCTCTGCGCCCCTTGCCCACGCATGACTCGCGCCGCGAATCAATTACGACGCAAAGCTGCTTGCCGCGTTCGGCCTCCGGAGGCCTCTGCCCAGGCCCGGCGACCGTCGACACGTAGTGCAGCAGCGCTAGCCATGGGGAAAGGCTCGGGACTTCTGGGGGCCCCGTACGGAACAAATCAACAGAACCTGTGCCTGGCCCCCCCCCCCTCCCTTCCCCCCGCTCCCTCAAAACATCATCCCTCCCCATTCAATCGCCCTGCGCCAACCGAACAAAGAATTCCCCCCAGAGGAGACGCAGCGGGCGCGCGCCACCAAAGAAGGCACAACGGCCGCGCTAATGCCGTGTGCGACCTACCCTCCCCCTCCCTTCCTCTCCCTCTCCCTCCCCCTCTCTCGCGCGCATCCACATAGCCGATCCCTGCAATGCGCCCTGCACCGTTGCGGGCCGCTCGGCTGGACGCCGGCTGGCGGCGAGCGCGCCCACCAGCGCCCGCTCCCTCTCTCGTTCCCTCTCCCTTGAAGGGGCCCTGGGACACACACATATATTCACACACACATAGCAGGATTCCCAATATTTTCCTATATTTTCTTGATATTTTGTTTCCCCCACCATTTCCTATATTTCCGCAGATTTTCTGAGGAATCGACGATGAATTGTGTCTGTGTTTGGGCGCCCGAGTTATTCGGGGTAACTCGGGCCCGGGGTAACTCGGGCTTGGATTCCCGAAAAAAGAAACCCGAGTTAGCCCTGACCCGAATTATCCCTGATGATTTGGGGCTCTGGACGCCCGAGTTATCCGGGGTAACTCGGGCCTGGGGCAACTCGGGTTCGGATTCCCGAAAAACGAACCCGAGTTAGCCCTGACCCGAATTACCCCTGATGATTCGGGTCTCTGATGTGTGTTTTCTCCCCTCTTGATCCCTGCCCTCGCGGCCCAACCCACGGACCTCCCACAAGGGCGCCGGCTTCCCGGCAACCGCGGCCCCGCGTGGCAGCCAGAGGAGGGGACCCGCGCCGCCCGCGCGCCGGCGAGGCCGCCGCCGACTATAGATGGCTCCAGGGAGGAGCGCAGACCACCGACGCGGAGAGCCCCTCGGAGGGGGAGTGGCCCACCCCTGGTGGGGGGGCTGCTGCAGCTGCCCCTGGCCCAAAGGTGCTCACAGCTGCTCGCTCAATTCTGAGCCCCCTGGGACCTTTGTGGGCCCTGGAAACGGCAGGGCCGTTTTTTCACCGTTTCCAGAAAATGTCCCTTGAAAATGACAACGGCAAAACAACGGCGACCGGAAACGGCAAAAAAACAGCTCCAGGATTGGAACCGGAGCCGGAACCAGTCAAAAAACGGCGACGGAACTGGTAAAAAAACGGCGTCGGAATCTGCAAAAAAACGGCAGAACGGAACCGGTGCAAAAAAGGCCCTGTGGTTTCCAGGGCCCACTGAGCCTGGGACCCCATGGGCCTCGTGAAGGGTGCTCTGGAGGCCGTGGGTGCGTCCTTGGAAATCCTGGGGGGTCCCCTGGGCCAGGGGCGCGTCTGGCAACACGCGACCTGGGGGGCGGAAGCAGGCCTGAGCGTCGTCTGGCAGTCAGCGGCGCTCGGGCGTGCCGCCGCCCATGGGGGCCGGCCTTCCCCCGAGGAGTTTGCGGGCAAGACTTGCGCCGATATTCGCTGCAGCTTGGAGTTTCGGGCTCCCCTCTTCAGAGCCCCGAGGCGCACCGGATGTGGAAAAGCATATGGCCCCTTTAAGGGCTCGATGTTTCCCCACATGGTTAATGAGGTTCCGATATTATTCCCACCAGCGTCGCATCCGCGTTCACACACCCGCCTCCCCTCCTCATCATTCCTTGCGTCTCCTCGTCACTCCTCCTCCACAGACACACAATACATCTGCGATCTTGTTCCCCACATGTGTCGTGGGGTTTTGGTTCTCTTCTCCCCATATTTCGTAGGGTGCTGTTTTTTCCATGCCGCGTCGCACCTGCGTCTCACCTCCCTCCTCTCCTCCCGTTCCCCACGCCCCAAAGACACACGCCCAGATACAGCCGCACACGCATCATACACATGACACGCACACCACGCGACACATACGCGCAATATTAGCAGAGCGTGGCATGCGTGCTCCATCATACACCCAATACATACCTATATATATATATATATATACATACATACATATACATACATATATATATATATATATATATATATATATATATATATATGCGCACGGTCGTCCACCACCATAGTCGGTGCGCAGGGGGTGGTATCTCACCGCGGCCGCTATGAGCGACGGTCGCCCAGCGCATAGCAGGCGTGGCGCTCTCTCATCACCGTAAGCAGTGCGCAGGGGGTGGTCTCCCACAGCCGCTCAAGCACAGCAGGCGTGGCAGTTTCTCGACAACATACGGGGTGCGCACGGGGGGTCTCCCACCGCGGCCGCTATGAGCTCCAGTCGTCCACGCTGAGCAGGCGTGGCATTTTCTGGACACCATACGGGGTGCGCAGAGGGGTGATATCTCACCGCGGCCACTATGCGCGACGGTCGTCCAGGGCACAACAGGCGTGTCACTTGCTCGACACCATGGGGGGTGCGCAGGGGGTGGTCTCTCACCGCGGCCGCTTTGCGAGACGGTCGTCCAAACACAGCAGGCGTCGCAGTTTCGCGACACCATAGAAAGTGCGCAGGGGGTGGTATCTCACTGCGGCCGCTATGCGCGACGGTCGTCCAAGACACAGCAGGCGCGGCATTTCTCGAAAACGTAGGGGGTGCGCAAGGGATGGTCTCTCACCGCGGCCGCTACGCGCGACAGGCGTCCAAACACAGCAGGCGTTGCATTTTCTGGACACCGTACGGGGTGCGCAAGGGGTGGTCTCCCACCGCGGCAGCTATGCGCGACGGTCGTCCAGGGCACAGCAGGCGTGTCACTTTCTCGACACCATGGGGGGTGCGCAAGGGGTGGTCTCCCACCGCGGCCGCTCCGCGCGACCATCGCCCAGGCACAGCACGCGTGGCATTTCGTCGACACCATGCGGGATGCGCAGGGGGTGGTCTCTCACCGCGGCCGCTATGCGCGACGGTCGCCCAGGCACAGCAGGCGTGGCATTTCCTCGGCACCATATGGCGGTGCACAGCGGGTGGTCTCTCACCGCGGCCGCTATGCTCGCAAGACGTCCTAGGCATAGCAGGCGTGGCAGTCTCTCGACGCCACAGAGGGGTCGGCCTCCTGGGGCCTATGGGCCCCGTCAACGTACTCAGGCCCCCAAGGTTCCACCAGCGCCTCTCAAGGCATCGGCGAAGCAGCGTCCACCTGCATCATTCTCGTAATTGCCACGCCAGCTATCATCACGTGAGTCATATTATACGTATGTGTGGTCCCTCGGTAGCGCAATTGTCCACGCGCTTCGGCCTTGCGGTGCCCCTTCCAAGAATGTCCAAGACGCACTGGACATGGATAGAAAGAAAGCTCGCAAGAAATCTCGGCGGCGGTGGCCCCTGCGTCTCCTCCGCGCGGCGGGGCAAGCAAAGGACGCAGAGGGTTCAATGTCGGATGTGGAGCCCGCGAATGCTCGCGCTGCGCTTGGCGACCGCGCGAGCTCGAGCTCGCGCAAGGGCCTGGGCCCCCGCCGGGCAGGAACCTTGTCCAGGAGCGCACGAGGGCGCACATATGTTTCCTCCTGGTGGGGCGGGCCCGCCACGGGGCGGACGGGGGGGGGGCGGGTGCCGAAAGAAAGCGGCCCAGGTTGCTTTCCTCGCTGCCCTCAGGGCCCCACGGCCACCCCCCCGCCGCGCGCGAGTCTGTGGTCTGCTGTCAGGAGCGCCGGATGAAGGACGAAGGGGCCCGTCTGGCCGCGGCGCGCCTCGGCCGCGAACGTCGCCCCCCCCCCGACAAATTTGTTCAGAAGCGGCCCCGAAAACAAAACTGAGTCCCCCCCGGGTCCAACGTGGCTCTTCGCTTAGCGAATCGACATTGTGGGCCCCTGTCGCGACAGCCGCGAAGAGATGGGGGCCTAGGGCCCAAGATAACTGCTCGTTCCATCTCCCAGGTTCACCCATCCTGGGCGGCGCGCTTCGAGCGGCAACCTCGGGGGCATTCGTCAAGGCTCAAAGTTCAGGTCCTATCAGACTGGCCCGCAGGGGGCAGGGCCCGGGGTGAACCCCTCAACTCGTCGAAGTGCGCTTCAGCTGCCCAGTCAACGAAAACAAAAGACAACGCCTGCCAGACCGCGAAACTCCGAGCCAAACGCCTCCAGTCGCCTTGGGCCCCCCGAGCGCAACAACGCCGCCTAATATCATCAAAGCGCATCAATTTGCGGGAAGGCGGTCGCGTAGGACGAGCCGCGTCGAGCTCGTTCGCAGCCGCTTGCCGCGCTGCGTCTCGCCACCCTGCCGCCGTCCGCGCCCGCTCGCTGGGATCTTGATTGGCGGCTCCTCCAGCCCATCTCCATGTCCAGTCGAGGCGGTCTGGGGCCCATTCCTGCACAGCGCATTTGCGTGCAAGACGCCGAGCTTTGCACGTCGCCCCTCGGATCTAATCTGCCCAGGTTTCCTCTTCAGTCCTCCCGCGCTCTACGATGCGACGCTTTGTCACATGCGAGCCTTCTGAGTTCTTGTGCCCGTGGAAACAATCATTCAGTTGCCGATGGAATTTCACAACAGAGCTGTCATTGCCCAGAATTTCCGCCAACCCACTGCTATGCGATTGGCTATGTCCTCCCCCGTCGGGTCCACCAGTGACAGCCTCGTGCTTAGCATCTCCATGTTCTCTCTTAGTGGCAGTGCCTCTATAGAAAAAACCGTCGGCGCCGTGCGAAGCTGTTCGTTGGATGCAAAGACAGCCCCCAGCCTTGCAAAGCAAGCCTGAGCGTCGAGATCCCCCCCTTCATCGTGACCCAACTCCTTGCCACGAACGTCTGGTCATCAGGGAAGGCGACGTGCGCGAAGCGATGGCCCCGGAAGTCGTGCCCCACGTTGGCGCCGCAGCCGCGCCTCTTCTACACCTCGCTAACTTCGTTCAGAGCCCCGTCGAGTGCCACATGCAAGAAAATAAGTGAGTGAGGGTCGCCCTGCTTGACTGCCCGTTTCATCTCGAAGAATATGCTGTCCGCCCCCGCCCACGTAGACACGTGGCCTTTCGCTCCAAAATACTAGCGTCTCAGAAAACAAGCTATTGACGCATCCACTCGATGATGAAGAGGCGCCTCCAACACACCAGACTTATGTACTCGGTCGAGTGATGTGTTCCACATCAAGTATCGCAACCCATTCATCCTCCCCCATTCCAGCAATTGTTCGACAACCGTTCTGGCAATGTGTACCGCGTCGAAACCGGCCAGGACGGAAACCGAACTGCTCCTTGGACAACTTAGAACCGATGATGCCGGCTTTCCTGTTGTAGAGAACAGTGCAGAAGAGCTTCGCCATAACTGGAACAATACAGCGGTGGGCCTGTAATTGTTCGGCAAGGTCGGGTCGCCCTTCTTGAAACTACCCTAAGCTTTGTGATCTTCCAAGCTGCAGGTGGCGGCAATGTTCCGCTGACGACCTCTGTGAAGAAGTCGGCGATGACCGCACTAAAATCGAAATGCCCCGTTCTGAGCATATCGGCCCCGAGTCCGTCATCTGCGCTGGTCTTTCTCTTCTTGGGCCTCGTCAAAAAAATCTCCCTTCTTCAAGTGTTACGCGATCCTCATGTTGAGTGCGGTGGCGCAGCCAGCTGCTTGTGTGCATCTTCGTGAAGATCCTCGTATCCTAGTGCAACGAAGCAGCAGACTCGTAAATCGTCATCTTGCCAATGTTCAGTGCCCCTGTGTTGTCCTGCGTTGTCAATCTTCGTTATACTCTTTTGTGCCGTTGTTCCAATATGCGTATTGCTCCAAGCCCTGCCCTTCTCATCGACAAAGATTCAAATTCATAATCTTGTCTGCGCCGCCGGTCTCGCCGTAGAAATCGCCATACCTGTTTTGATAAATATCGCCGTCTGTCCGGGCCCTGCTCTTGCATCCTCGCTTTCAGCAATTCTTTTGTAGTCGGGCTGTGTTTTTGGGCGGTCCCGTCGCTCCTGGGTTTCCCCGTTGTCGACGCAACCTCTACGAACAAGTCCGCGGGGTCCTCGGTGTGGATTCGCCCAAGGAACTCGTCGTCTAACGCCCTGTGGTATTGCGTTGGCTGTCCGTCCGCGTCCAGAGCAAAAGCCCAATTAATGTTTGCTTTCGTTCCTTCGCGTATCCTGCTTAGCCTGCCGTTGACATTCAAATCGACAGAAAATGATCGGTGGTCCCACCCCCCTTCCAAGGCATGTACAATTCTCAATGTCTGATCAGGCTCTCTGGCAAATGTCATCAATAAAGGTATAATCGATTAAGTCTGTTTCGCCCTGTGCTCTAGAGTCTATGCGTCCAGGCTCCATGCAATTGTTTGCACGCGAACGTCGAAATAACCGAAAGTTTCATCCCATGGAGCCACGCTGTCTCCTGGGAGTCATCGATGGCCCAAGCCAAAAGAAACGATATTGTTCTGGTGGTCCGTGGGCTTCCTGCTCCCTATGACGGCGTCCGCATCCACCCCAACAACATTGAGGTATGTATTGCGCCTGCCATCTTCGACCGCTGTGCCCACCTCCTGCAACGTGTCGTCGTGTTCTCCGTCTGGGCATTCGTTGTGAGGAAAATGAGTTGTCAGGAGGCGGGCTCTCATGTCTGGCGCGTCCATGTCCGCATTGCCTTGCAACAGCATTGAATTTGAACATATTGAATCGCCTTCCAACCGCATTGAATGTGAAGCCGATTCCAGCTTCAGCCCATCTCTTGTTGACTATAATATCCACACTGCGGCTCCAATGTCTGCGCGCACCAGGGCAGAAAGCGTGCCCAGAGTGCAGAATCACACAGGAATATTCTACACAGTGAAAGCCTGCAACAAAACTGCTGATGATGCTGATGCTGATGCTGATGCTGATGCTGATGCTGATGATGATGATGATGATGATGCGACTGCTGATGCGTATGATGCTGATTCTGATAAGATGATGGTTACGTTGGTGCTGGTGAGGCTGATGAAGACGATGCAGATGCTGACGCTGATGGTGATGGTACTGATGGTGATGATGACGAAGACGATGATGATGCTGATGATGCTGATGAAGATGACATTGCCTGTGATCATGAGGATGCTGATGATCGTGATGATCATGATGATGATGATGATGATCATATTGATGATGATGAGACTGAGGATGAGGATGAGGATGAGGATGAGGATGAGGATGCTGATGCTGATGCTGATGCTGATGCTGATGCTGATGATGATGATGATGATGATGATGATGATGATGATGATGATGGGAGATGTCGGGCCTTTTGACGAGCAGTGGTGGCATCGCGCAGCTGTGCGACGGCTCATCCTGCCTGGAACGATCATGGGGAGAGTGTGCTCATCATCATCACCACCTCTCAAGCACGGAGCTACACTCGCCGCCGGAGCAAGGGCGCAGAAGAGAAGGATGCGGAGGAGGGTAAGGGAGAAGAGGAGATAGTACAGGAGCGAAGAGGACGAAACTGAGGAGAGCGAGTACTTGAGAGAAAGCGATATTAGACAAGAGGGGAGAGGAGAGGAAGAGCAGGGCGGCGGCGAGGAGACTAGAGAAGACAAGAGCTAGGCGGGATGATGAGCATGAGAAAACAGTATACATGGAAAAGGGAGGAGAAGGGGCACGAAGGAATAGCAGGGGTTTCAAAAAACACGAGAGGGCAAGGGAGATCGAAAAAGGGGTGCCCTGAATTCCGACGTTGCGAAACATACAACACTGCGACGACTCGCGGCAAGAACCCTAGACCCAATCTTTCCACTGCATTTTCGAGCCAGATCGGTCTGTTCCAGTCCTGGGGTCCGGGTCACAAGAATTCCACCGCCCGGATCTCAGGGTGAACAGAGGAGAAGGCCATCCAGCTTCTCGCAGTGCGCCAGGTTGCCTCGGGCAGGCCTCTCACGCGGCCGCGGCCAGAAGCCCGTACAGGGCGTCCTGCGGCGGCATGGTCAGGCCCACCTTGTCCTCGCAGAGAAGCAAGACGACAAGGAATACGAACGAACGAACGCCCGAATCTTGTGCGCTCCGCTGGGGAGCCCGCCGGTGCACGTTAGGGCATGGCGTGGACGCCGTAGCCTCAAAAAACATGTGCCAGGAACAACCTCGTGCAGGCCGTAGCCTCGAGGCCGTGGCGATAGGAATGGTAACAGTAGAAGCACGAGGCGGAAACGCAGGATGCGAGTGCGGAGAGGACGACGGAAGAGAGGGGGTTATGCGACGGAGGAGGAGCGCACGGTGGGGCATATCGGCACCAGCCATCGATAGCCCCAAACTTGAGCAAGGACCGACCGTCCCGGCATTCCTGTAGTCCTACCACGATATGTTCTTGGAACCTAAAAATGTTCTAAGAGCAACACAATGTTCTTAGAACGTAAACCAAATGTGAAAAAACATTAGACTCCCAGCCAGAAGTGGTTTAAGGACACTTCGTGGGAACCACAAGAGGTTCTTAGAACACTGTTTGGTAGGGCTATAGGCGAGCCAGGACGCTTCGCCACTGCTTGAGAAACGCAGCCACCAGCGTGTTAAGACATGGGTGGAAGCGCCCAGACCCCCGACGTCGGGACTTTTCACAGCGTCGGCCCCAAAAATCAAAACCCTGGGCCCCTTCCCCAGGACCCGCTTTTTACCCCGAGTCGGTGTTTGGCGTGCCCGAGGCCCGGCAAAGGGTCCCCGGGAGAGCGAAGCCCTGCGAAGTATGGGAAACGCAATGTTCTTAAAAAATCGTACCCCATGAACCGGACTTGCGTTTCCCATAATTTTCAAGTATGGGCAACGCAATCCCGGACGACTGCCCCGGGAGAAACCTGTCGTCGCGATTTTTCCTCGTCGCGAGGGGGGGTGTTCCCCAATGTCCCCATGCTCCTTGCAATCGAGGTGGCAGTCTCCCTCACGTTACACTGAAGGGGCCCTGGGACACACAAACAAACAGACATGAATAACAGGATTCCGCATATATTCCCATATCTTCTGGGTTTTGGTCTTCCCACCCACTTCCCATGTTTTCCCCTATTTTCTGACGAAGCGACGCTCATTTGAGTCTGTGTTTTTTTTTCCCCCTCCTGACCATGCTCCTTCGAATCAAGGCGGCAGTCTCCCTCGCGTTACATCCAGGGCAAGCCTGGGCAGTCGCTGAGAAGGCGCGCCCTTTCCCCTCGCACGCGCCGCCGACCGACGCTTCGAGGGACTCCAGGCACCGCTGGTCCCCGCGTCGTTCTCTGCCCAAGCTCCCACCAAGCAGCAACGAACTACCGAATCTGTGGAACTCCCTGCCGAGCCCCTTTCCGGAACGCCCCGCTCAGGGGGCACTGCTGCATGGCGGGGGCTCAGGACGAGTCCCGCCTCCGAGCCATGTCCAGCGCGGCGTCCCCCAACCCGTCTTGACTACTCGAATTGCCAAACCATCTCTGAGCAGTTCAGCGGGCCCGGTTTCTGTCGGGACTGCTTCTCTTCAGGTTACCGGGCACGGCCCTGTAGGGATGAAGAAAGCAAGGAGCCCTCGATTCCGAGTCCTGGTGGACGAGGTTCTTGAGCAGGACGTAGCCCTCCCTGCGCAGGTTTGCGTCGATCTGATCCAACTCCGCCTGCTGCAAGTTGGAGATCTCGTAGAGCACCAACTGCGGCTTCGGCACCGGGAACTCGCCGGACAGGATCTTCGGCTCGTTGCCCTCCGCATCCACGACGAGGACGTCGACCTTCTTCTTGTCTGCACCGAACACCTCCTTCCAGAGCGTCTTCAGCGTGTAAGTGGGCACCTCGACTCCATTCTTACGGGTGAGGCTGATCTCGTGGGAAGTCTCCGAACGGTCCAAGATCCTGCCGACGCCGGAATGGTTGCTTACCAACGCCTTGCAGGGTATTCAAGCTCGCCTCCTCCTGTCGCATCGTCTTCATCCTACCTCCTGCCTTCGCCACCCCCCTGCCCCCTTCCTCCTTCTACCTCCTTCGGCCACAAGTCAAGATCGAATTGCACCTGTGGGTCCCGGCCCCCATCAGATCCGCGCACCATTGCCCCCACAGGACTCAGTCTAGACCCGCGCATGCGGAGAACAACACCATTAGATCGGGGACGCACCTCGCCCGGGTCAATGCAAACCCAGGTCAGTCAAGTTTTGCAAGATCCTGCGCAGTCCTGCAGGATCCTGCGCGCAAGCCCGTCAATGCACACCCGGTTCTGCAGGATCCTGCAAGATCCAGCGCTCTGGCTGACCACCGTTTGCATTGACCCCCGTCACTTACAACTCGATTGGTCCAAACGGGCGCCTGCACCGGCTTCACGCTGGGGTACGGGCGGTAGTTCTCGGTCAGCTTGGAGAAAATGTGGGGCACTGGCTCCAGGACGATGCCGTCCCAGCCTAGGAGCAGATATGCTCGCTTTGCCAGCGCCAAGAGGAGGAGGAGGAGGAGGAGGAGGAGGAGGAGGAGGAGGAGAAGGAGGAAAAGGAGGAGCAGCAGGAGGAGGAGGAGGAGGGATGAGGGATGAGGGGGAGAAGGAGGACGAGGAGGGGGAGGAGGAGGAGGAGGAGGAGGAGGAGGAGGAGGAGGAGGAGGAGGAGGAGGAGGAGGAGGAAAAGGATGAGGATGAGGAGGACGAGGAGGAGGAGGAGGAGGAGCAGGAGGAAAAGGAGGAGGAGGAGGACGAGGAGGAGGAGGAGGAAGAGGAGGAGGAGGGAGAGGGGAAGGAAGGAGGAGGACGAGGACGGAAAACGAGGAGGAAGAGGAGGGATAGGAGGACGAGGAGAATCCGTTCCTCGTTCCCTCCGCCCGTGTCCTCCTGCATGATCATGGTGCGATGTGCGCGTGTAGTGGCTCCCGCCGCCCATCACTGGTTTGTGTGCAAGGGCGGTGCTCTGGCGCATGCGCGTTCAACAAAATCAATCGTACATGTTACTGGCCGTCGTTTTCAATTCAATGTATGCCGATGCGCCGTCTGGGCGCGGCCACGTCTTCTGTTGTTCGTTTTCTGTTTTGTCCTCCTCACTCCGGCCAGCCCCTCGCGAGCCCACGGTTGGAGGCAAGGTGACATGTGACAATCCTGGGCTCAAGAAGGGTTTGCCCAAAGCTGGTGTCGGTGTATGCTTGGTGCCCATCAGCAACCGAATCTGGTCGCGTACTCCCAAATGGGGTCGCCTCCCACGGCGCACTCTGGCAAATTCGTGCCGCAATTGCCACCGATCTGGACGAAATTTACGCCGTTCATGCTCTTGAGGTACTCCTGTCACACTTCCCAATGAACGAGATGGGGATGGACGATAAGCGGGGGAAACGGACAAGGAAGAGACACGGGTGATGAGGTGCGGAAATGTGGGAGGACGAAGTGGATGAGGACCTGTGAAGATAAAGAGAGAAGGAGAGAGAACGATGGAGAGAGAGAGGGAGAGAGAGAGAGAGAGAACAAAAAAAGAGAGAGGGATAAAGGGAGAGAAAGAGAGAGAGAGAGAAAGAGAGTGAGAGAGATACAGATATACAATTAGCCAGTCGAAGGACCCAACCACATGAAGCTGTGAGTACCGCAATTGCGAATATCGTTTTCGCTCGCGCTCCCTATGGGGCCACGAACCGTGCGAAGTGGCGTGCCGAAATGCGTGGCGGGGTCCACAATGCGAGCAAAGACGGTCGGTCCGAGTGTGAGAGACTGAGAACGGGTGAGCCTGAGCGCGAGTGAGTCTGATTTTGAATGCGGGGACGACAATGTCGCTCGAAACGATGACAATTATGACATCGTCCCTCACAGAGGCCCCGGAAAAGGCCGCCACGAAGCAACTCGCAAACAGCACCCCAGCGTAACCGAACCGATTGTAGTCGCCGAGAGGGGGAGGAGGAGGAGGAGGAGGAGGAGGAGGAGGAGGAGGAGGAGGAGGAGGAGGAGGAGGAGGGAGGAGGAGGAGGAGGAGGAGGAGGAGGAGGAGGAGTAGGAGAAGGGAAGAGGAGGAGGAGGAGAAGGGCGATGAGGAGAGGGAGGATGAGGAGGAGGAGGAGGAGGAGAGGAGGAGGAGGAGGGAGGAGGAGGAGGAGGAGGAGGAGGAGGAGGAGGGGGAGGAGCAGGAGGAGGAGCAGGAGGAGGAGGAGCATGAGGAGGAGGAGGAAGAGGAAGAAGAGGAGGAAAAGACATACGAGGAGGGAGGTGCTGCGAGGCCGGGCGCGAACGCGCGGCGGGGGGGCGGAGGCTCCTCCCACCTCACGAAGAGGGGTACGTGGCCCTCCGGCAGGGAGAGCGGCAAGGACTGCTCCGTCCTGAGCCCGTACAGCGCGTCCTGCGCAGCGGGCTCATGACCCTGCCTGGGAGGGTCGGGGGACCCGCATCGTAATGGGGATCCGATGCAGTCGGACCTACGCCAGAAGAATATCCCTCAAGAACAGGAGACCCTCCGCCAGCCCAGACACACAGAACATCCAAGGGTGCCCTCCCCAGGATGCACGGGAGCACCCAACGGCCACGGAGAACATCAGGATGCCCTCCCCGAGCCGACCTCGATCCGAGACCTCGGCCCGGCTGTGTGGGACCTGCTGCGAGGAACTCCTGCGCGCCAGGACGCGCGAGTCATCAGTTCGACGGCGGACCCCCGACCACCCTGCGAGGCCCCCTGGGGGAGGGGCCCAGGAGCGGCCACGCAGACCCTGCGAGAAGGAGGAGGAGGAGGAGGAGGGAAGGAGAAGGGAAGGAGAAGGAGGAGGAGGAAGAGGAGGAGGAGGAGGAGAAGGAGGAGGAGGGGGCATGAGAGTCTGGCAGGTATCAATGCAGCTGCCCGTCCCTCGTCGCCTCGGCGGCATTCGCCCCGAAATCCCCATCAGGGCGCGTCCCAAGAGACGATCTGGGAAGCAGCGATGTCAGCATCTGTGTGCGCCCCCACGAAATCACGGCCGAGGGAGAGGAGGAGGAGGAGGAGGAGGAGGAGGAGGAGGAGGAGGAGGAGGAGGAGGAGGAGGAGGAGGAACAGGAGAGGAAGAAGAGGGGAAAGAGGAGGAGGAAGAGGAGGAGGAGGAGGAGGAGGAGAAGAACAAAGAGGAGGAAGACAAGGAGGAAGAGGCCTGGGAAGCACAAGAGGAGGGGCGGAAAAGAAGGAGGAAGAGGAGGGGGAAGCGGAAGAGGAGGTGGAAGAGGTGGAGGAAAAGGAGGAGGAGGAGGAGGAGGGCCACGGGAAGGATCACTGGCAGCAGGACGAGGCGGGAGACGAGCCGCATCAGCAGGGTCAGAGGGAAAGAGGAGAGAGGAGCGATGAGGATCAGATGCTCGTCCTGGGGATTGGCGGCGAGCGCGGGGGGAAGCGAGAAGGGGTTGGCCTTCTCTGTTGGGGCTCAGGGGACGGGGGTCCATGCGCAAACGAGGGTCAGTCAGAGCGCCGGATCTTGCAAGATCTTGCAGGATCCTGCAAGGCCAGGGGTGCATTGACCGGGGTTTGGGTGCAGGATCCTGCAGGATCTTGCAAGATCCTGCAGGGCCTGACTGACCTGGGTCTGGATTGACTCGGGTCAGAAGGTCCCCTACTCAGAAGGCTCGGAAGTCCCCTGGCCGTCTGACAACTTTTCCGAGCCTTTCCGGAAGACGCAGAAAACCTCTCAGAAGGTGCGGAAGCTTCTGGAGAGGCCCCGCCGTCTTCTGAGAGGGCCTTCTCCTTCTCACTTCCTCCCCTCGCTCGCCGCCGAGGGGACCTTCCTTGGAGCCTCTCGCTCGCGTCATGCGTCGATGCTGCGCCGATCGCCCGTCGGCTCGGATCGAACTTGCCTGGGGTCGAGAAGGAGCCGAACAGATCCGTCTGGTGGGCCACCTCGGAAAGATTTATTTCATGTTTTATTAGGCAGCATAGAGGACCACTTCGTGAAATATTCACCTGCTCGTGATAAGTACGTATACTACACTCGAGAGCTGACAGGTCACTAGTGCCTCGCTGTCACGTCGCAGAGCGTGATACCTCGAAAAGAACATCGGATAAGGAAGGTCCTCTGGCATGGGCCCAACGGAAGGCCCCAGACAAAGAACTGCTGATGAGGAGGCGCAGCAGGAGGGCAACAAAACCATGCTGGCGGGGCCATCCGAGCGTCGCCCAGAAAGGACCGACCCCAGAGCCAGGGAGCGCGCACTCTTCGCTGGGCTGTCCTGGTCGGGTGCGCGGGGAGGGGAGGCTAGGACGAGGGGGATTGGCGCATCATGGCCGAGGCATGTGCGCGGAAGACGGGGGGCCAAGGAACGCGTTGATAAAAAGCACAAGGTGGGTAATGAAACCTGAAAGATTCCCTGACTCTGGGCACGATACCCCCCTCCCACGCACACACACACAAACACAGACACAGACACAAACACAGACACAGACACAAACAGAGACACAGACACCAAAAACACACACACACACACACTTTTCCTTCGCGCACCGAAGCTATGTGGCACACGATCCGCGCTGCCCCGCGAGAGGCCCATCAGCCCGCTCACGACGGCTCTCAGCCTGCCCATGGCGGCCAAGCTTTTGACGGCCGCGGCCTCGCGCGCAGCGACGAGGCGTAGCAAATCGAGCAGACGGCACAGACCTAAACTCGCGGCTGGGCCCTGAGACGCGGGACCACCCTGGCAGGGTGGGGAGTGCGAGAATTGAGGCACCGTCCGCAGACGGAGGCGGCGGACGACAACGACAGGGTGAGGGGGTAGCGCCCAGGCTGAAACCCGACGAGCCCGGCTGTTAGGCGAGGTGCCCGCGGTGGGGGACGGCGGAGGACGCGGAAACACCACGGCAGTGCCAAAGTGGATGGCGGGGAGGGGAGCAGCAGCAACGCAGAGCCGCGGAAGCGCAAAGCTTGGCCAATGCTTGGAGCGAGGCGGAGGGCGGCTCGACCGCAAGAGCTTCCTGGAGGGGCCCCCGTTTTGCGACCCCCCCCGCACACACACACACAAGGACGCACACACACATACAGACATACACGCACAAACAACCACACACACACCTCCAAATCACCGCCCCACCCACTCTCGCTCTCCCAACTAGGGTCCGAACAGATGTGGCCGGAGGATCGCGCCACATCGCCGATGCATCTGGGGAGACCAAGAGGTACCCATACCGCTACTCCCCAAAATCTCGAGGCGTATCCAGGATGCGTTCTGACCCGCTACTCCCCGCTACTCCAGGATGCGTTCTGACTAGAATCTCGAGGCGAATCCAGCCGTGGCGACGAGAGCCTCCAGGAGGCCCCAAAATCAGGGAAACGAGGGAAGGCTAGCGCGGTATGGGTACCTTTTCCTCCCCTGAGGGCGACCCGGCGCGATTCTCCTACCACGTGTGCTCTGGCCCCATTGAAAGGGCGGAGGAGGAGGAGGAGGGAGAGGAGGGCAAGCAAGGTGCGCTCGCGTCATGTCTGACGTCCTGCCCCTCCCTCCGAACCCTTACCATGGCGTAGGTGTCCTCTCTATTCGCACAGTCGGATGTCGAGCAGGGCCAAAATCCCGAGAGTGTGCGCAATGCATCGTAGAGCACGGTTTAGCAGGGCGTAGAAGAATACAGCAGAGCGTATTATGTCATAGCATGGCGTGGCGTTGCGTAGTGGAGAAATGCATCACAAAGCATTGCAACGCAAATATTGGCATCGCACATGAGCACAGAAGAGAACATGGATAACATGGCGTTGAGCATCAAAGCGTAGCATGGCATAGCATGGCGTGGCACTGCGTAGTCAAGCACTGCGATCCTAGCATTGCAGCTGGAGGCATGGCATCGCACAACGGAACGCCACATAGCATTGCATTGCATGCCGTGGCATGGCACTGGAAATGATGACGACAGCGCTGCACCGGGAGCACGATTCGGAACGAGCGGAAGCGCAGAAATGAGGCCAACGCTGCAGCGAGAACACGATTCGGAACGAGCGGAAACGCTGGAAATGAGGCCAGCGCTGCAGCAGGAGCACGATTCGGAACGAGCGGGAGCCCGACAATGACGCCAGCGATGCAGCTGGAGCAACAATTTGAAAACAAAAGCACAAGCGAAAATCCAACTCCCGGGAACCCGGTGTAAAAAACAATACGCGGAGCGGGGCCACACATCTTCCGGAAGTCGTTCGGGGAGAGTGGAGAGTAGCAATCATACGTGTACATATTGTGCAACTGTGGAGGAGGAGGAGGAGGAGGAGGAGGACGAGGAGGAGGGGGAGGGGGATGATGATGATGATGATGATGAGGAGGAGGAGGAGGAGGAGGAGGAGGAGGAGGGGGAGGAGGAGGAGGGGAGGAAGGAGGAGGGGGAGGAGGAGGAGGAGGAGGAGGAGGAGGAGGAGGAGGAGGAGGAGGAGGAGGAGGAGGGGGAGGGGAAGGAGGAGGAGGAGAAGGAAGAATTGCAAGGCGAATTGAGACAACAACTCAAACCCGGTCCCGGGACCTTTCCAGGAACCACGCGCGCCAGCGTTCCGAGCCGCCTCTGGCCGCGACCACAAGGGGTGCCCCTCGAAGGCCAGCAACGTCTGTCCCCACTCGCCCTCCTCGGAATGCTGTGCGCTTTGGGCAGCCGAAATGGGCATAGCAGAATCCTCTTCCTCCTCCTCCTGCTCCTCCCACCTCCCCCTCCCCCCCCTCCTCCTCCTCATCCTCCTCCTCCCCACCTTTTCAACGGGGCCAGAGCACACGTGGGTCCTCCTCTCCTCCTCCTCCTCCTCCTCCTCCTTCCTTCCTCCGCCACCTCCCCCCCCCCCCTCCCTCCTCCTCCTCTCCTCCTCCTCCTCCTCCTCTCCTTCCTCCTCCTCCTCCTCCTCCTCCTCCTCTCCTCTCCTCCTCCTCCTCTTCCTCCTCCTCTTCCTCCTCCTCTCCTCCTCCTCCTCCTCCTCCTCCTCCTCTATCTCCTCCCCTTTCTCATCCTCTTCCTCTTCCTCCTCCTCCTCCTCCTCCTCCTCCTCCCAAGGCCTGCGTGGCCGCTCCTGGGTACAATCAACCCGATAACAAGGACACGCGTTAAGGATGCGAGGGCCTCGGAAGGCCGTGTCGACACGTTGCGAGCGGGGCGCGGCAAGCGAAAGCGGACGAGGATGGGCAGACGGGGGAAAATGCAAGGGCATCCTTGGAAAATTGCTCATCCGTACTATGCGGGTTGACTGTACGATGCCCAGCACTACATGCAATCCGAAACCGGCAGCGGCCTCTGTTGGGCAATCGGCCTTCTGTGTGAAATGGACAACGCCCGAAGCGACACCGACAATGAGTCCTGCTCAAACTGATCAGGAACTGATGTCGGTCTTTGTGCCCATCTTTTCTGTACCCATTTCGATCGTCCCGAAAGCATGGATCGACGCCCACGCCAGTGGCCTGCTCGGCTGTCATGGAGCTCGCCCTCTCTTGGCACTGTTTCTTGGGGGCGCCCAAGGGGGGGGGGGGCTCCAATAGGGGGATGGGGCGTGAATCGTGGCCCGAGACCTGTGGGGGCCTCCAATAGGGGAAAGGGGGCCTCCGATAAAGGGGGATGGGACGAGGGGGGGAGGGCCCGGGGACTTGCTCACAGAAGAAGAGGGGGCCATGATATCAGAGGATAGATCATGGCCCGAACCACGATACCCACATCCAAGAGGAGATGTTGAGGGCTCTGTCCTCCTCCTCCTCCTCCTCCTCCTCCTCCTCCTCCTCCCCTCCTCCCCCCTCGCGGACGCCCCCGACCCTTGGAAGTCAGGGAGGTCGGGCGGGCGGCCGCCTGTCCTGTGGCGCCATGTTGATGCCCACCTCGTCCTGGTGGCGCAAGTTCTCCAGCAAAACGTAGCCCTCCTTTTTCAGGGAACGTCAGCGGACAATTACCCTGCGACGTACCCAACCCACGTGCATCAAGTGGCAAGAGGAGTAGGCCAACATTAGCAGGAACAACGATAATGTAGGCGATGTGAATTGCTGTGCAATCTACATGGGATGCGCACGCATTGCACGGCTCACAGGACGACGATCGAAAGAACGAGGATTCAAGCACCAGGCTCGCGTATGACGTCACTCCGCTGGGCCACCCAGCAGCCCTCGAAAGTGGTGTCAGTTTCGCAGATCGCAGCCCCCCAAGGATGGCGAGGTCTAATCTGAATCCGAATATGTCCCCACTCCGCTGGGCCCTCCAGCAGCCCTCGAAAGTGGCGACAGTTTCGCAGATCGCAGCCCTTCGGGGATGGCGAAGTCGAGCCTGAGTCTGCGTAGGACCCACTCCGCTGGCCCCCCAGCAGCCATCAAAAGTGGCGACGGTTTCGCAAATCGCAGTCCCCCAGGAATGGCGAGGTCGAATATGAGTACCCCACTCCGCTGCCCCCCCCCAGCAGCCATCGAAACTGGCGACAATTTCGCAAATCGCAGCCCCCCCCCAGCGATGGCGAGGTCTAATCTGAGTCCCCGTGGGGGCTCACTCCGCTGGTCACCCCAGCAGCCCTCGGAAGTGGCGACAATTTCACAGATCGCAGCCCCCCACAGATGGCGAGGTCTAATCTGAGTCCCCGTGGTGCCTCACTCCGCTGGGCCCCCAGCAGCCCTCGAAAGTGGCGACAGTTTCACAGATCGCAGCCCCCCCAAATGGAGGTCTAATCTGAATCCCCGTGGTGCCTCACTCCGCTGGACCCACCAGCAGCCCTCAAAAGTGGCGACAGTTTCACAGATCGCAGTCCCCCAGAGATGGCGAGGTCTAATCTGAGTCCGCGTGGTGCCTCACTCCGCTGGACCCACCAGCAGCTCTCGAAAGTGGTGACAGCTTCACAGATCGCAGCCACCCCCAGAGATGGCGAGGTCTAATCTGGGTCCCCGTGGTGCCTCACTCCGCTGGACCCACCAACAGCCCTCGAAAGTGGCGACGGTTTCACAGATCGCAGCCCCCAGAGATGGCGAGGTCTAATCTGGGTCCCCGTGGTGCCTCACTCCGCTGGACCCACCAGCAGCCCTCGAAAGTGGCGACAGTTACACAGATCGCAGCCCCCCCAGGGATGGCGAGGTCTAATCTGAATCCCCAGTGGATCGCCTGGCAGGTCTCCCCCGCCTGGACCCACCAGCAGCCCTCGAAAGTGGCACAGTGTCACAGATCGCAGCCCCCCAGATGGCGAGGTCTAATCTGAATCCCCGTGGTGCCTCACTCCGCTGGACCCACCAGCAGCCCTCGAAAGTGGTGACAGTTTCACAGATCGCAGCCCCCCCCCAGAGATGGCGAGGTCTAATCTGAGTCCCCGTGGTGCCTCACTCCGCTGGACCCACCAGCAGCCCTCGAAAGTGGCGACAATTTCACAGATCGCAGCCACCCCCAGAGATGGCGAGGTCTAATCTGAATCCCCGTGGTGCCTCACTCCGCTGGACCCACCAGCAGCCCTCGAAAGTGGCGACAGTTTCACAGATCGCAGCCACCCCAGAGATGGCGAGGTCTAATCTGAATCCCCGTGGTGCCTCACTCCGCTGGACCCACCAGCAGCCTCGAAAGTGGCGACAGTTTCACAGATCGCAGCCCCCACCGATGGCGAGGTCTAATCTGAATCCCCGTGGTGCCTCACTCCGCTGGACCCACCAGCAGCCCTCGAAAGTGGCGACAGTTTCACAGATCGCAGCCCCCCAGAGATGGCGAGGTCTAATCTGAGTCCCCGTGGTGCCTCACTCCGCTGGACCCACCAGCAGCCCTCGAAAGTGGTGACAGTTTCACAGATCGCAGCCACCCCCAGAGATGGCGAGGTCTAATCTGAGTCCCCGTGGTGCCTCACTCCGCTGGACCCACCAGCAGCCCTCGAAAGTGGCGACAGTTTCACAGATCGCAGCCCCCCACAGATGGCGAGGTCTAATCTGAATCCCCGTGGTGCCTCACTCCGCTGGACCCACCAGCAGCCCTCGAAAGTGGCGACAGTTTCACAGATCGCAGCCCCCCCAGGGATGGCGAGGTCTAATCTAGGTCTGAGTATGACCCCACTCCGCTGGGCCTCCCAGCAGCCCTCGAAAGTGGCGACAGTTTCACAGATCGGGAGAAGGGAGGAGAGGAGGGGGACGGGAAGGAGGAGGAGGGAAGACGCGACCGCAGTGCTCTATTCAAAACGAGAACCCAACGCAGGAGGGTTGGGAAAACATACATCGGCGTGGACAAACCTCTCTTTAGTAAACCTCCCCTCCCTCTAGTGAAGACGGCCTTGGACCGAAACCGACGGACCTGGACCCGCCAAAATGACGGCCACGACGCCCTCTCGCGAGCCGAAAACGGCCGGTCTGTCCACCCCAGATGTTTCAGGGAACGTCAGCGGAGGAACATAAAACGGCACAGATATAACTGTTCGGAGCTCTGTGCGGACTAGTTGGATTGGCAAGGGCGGGCCCAGCGCAGATCCAAGACATCCGCGCGGAGCTTCGAACGCAGATGGTTACGCATGCGCTTCTTCTTCGAGTCAGCTGGCCACGTCATCGAGCCTGGGCGAGCGGATCCTCGGGAGGGAACACGACCATCAATGCCACGCTGGCTTCGGGAGCCCGTCCGCATGCGACCCCCTCCGCCTCTGTCCGAAGGCACGGTGCTTCCTCAACGGGAACGCGCTGATGCCCCCCCCCCCTGGCCGCGTGTCGTGGACACCGTCTTCTCTCCCCCAGATCCTGGGGCCAGGGTCGGTGTCTGCGAATCCTTGACGGCCTGGTGACAACGGAGGGCCTCGCAACTGGGGGGGGTGTGAAGAGCAGGGCCCTCAAGGGGCCCTGTGGGTCCCCTTTCGGAGCCAGCGGGGGCCCCAAAGGGCCACTTGAGGCCCCTGTGCTTCAACCCCCTTTTGCGCCAACCCCCAATCGGCACCCGCTCGACCCTGGCCAAGCCAGGAGGGCGCAAGCGCCGGTCCTGGGTCCAGGGTGGGCACGCCCGAGTTCGGTGAGGTGGCCGGTCGACGTCCTCGGATCCTTCTCCAGATTGGCGTGGATGCCGTCGAGCTCGGCCTTCTGGAGGTTGGCGATCTCGAAGAGAACCAACTGCGGCTTCGGCTCTGGGAACTTGCCGGACAGGATCTTCGGCTCGTTGCCCTCCGCATCCACGACGAGGATGTCCATCTTGGCCTTGTCCGCTCCGAACACGTCCTTCCAGAGCGTCTCCAGCGTGTACGTGGGCACCTCGACGCCCTTCTTGCGGGAGAGGCTGATCTCATGGGAGGTCTCCGCACGGTCCAGGATCCTGCCGATGCCGGAATGGTTGCTCACCAACGCCTCGCAAGGTAGTCGCGCTCGCCTCCCCCTGTCATATCGTCTTCCTCCTGCCTCCTGCCTGCCTTCGCCAACCCTCTGCCCCTTCCACCTGCTACCTCCTTCCTACCGTTCCTACCTTGCTCCAGGGGCCACAAGTTCAGATCTAAATACATTTGCGGGCCCCAGCCCCCACCTGTGGTTGCTCAGAATTGAGCAGGGATCGAGCGTACCGACATTCCTGCAGTCCTGCCACGAAACTTGCTTAAAACCACAAAAATTGACGAAACACAGACATGCCCTAATAGATGAAACCCCATGTGTTAAAACAAGACGGCTCAGCCAGGAGTGTTCTAAGAACGTGGTGTGCAAACCACAAGAGGTTCTTAGAACGTTCTTCGGTGGGCCCACAGGCAAGCCAGGACGCTTCGCCACCGGCCGACAACAGCGCCTCCCCGAGAATTCGAGCTCGCCTCCCGCCTCGTCCCCCTCCTCCCCGCCCTGCCCCCCTGCCCCCGCCTTCCTGCTGCCCACGAGGAGGAGCAAAACAAGCCGGCCGCATGCTGCCGTGGTCTGGGGACCCGTGGATCTGGCGCGAGGGCGCCAGCTCCGTGAATCGTGGAAGGCACCTCCGGCCACCTGCAGTCCGGGCCTTGAACTACGGAGCCCAAAATAAGGAACGAGGCCCCATTTTTTCCCCAAGTTAAACTTCGATTTCCAATCGAAAACATAAGGAAAACCTGAGGCAAGCTGCGAAACACTTAAGGAACGCGGAGCCCCTCCCCAACGAAAAGGGTTCCTTCTTCAGGGCCCCGACTGTACGAGGAGGAGGGAGGACACCCGGGCGCATGCTGCCATGGTCCGGGATCCGTGCCTCGGGCGCGAGGGCGCCAGAGCCGTGGCTCGGGGGGGCACCTCGGGCACGCGAGGCCAGTGCCGCCTCCGCGCCCGCCGACTGTGCACGGGCACGGGACCCGTCGCCAGCCCCTGCCCCGGCCTGCCGTGACACCGCCGACGTCGCGACGCGACTCACGGTGGCGCGGTGCAGGCGATTGTCGACAGCGGGCCGGCTACGCCGCGACGAGCGCGCGTCGGCGGTGGTGGCGACCTATGGGCGCGTCCACGCGCTGAACGGTCAACCCGTATCATAAGGATGGGCGGTAGTTGTAAGGATTCAAGGGCCTTGGAATGCCATGTGGACGTTTTTCCAACGAGACTGGCAAGCGAAAGCCGCCAAGGATGGGCCGAGGAGGCAAGGATGTAAGCGTTCCCTTGGGAAGGTTGCCCATCCTTACTATGCGGGTTGACTGTAATCCATGTTAGCTTCCGAGAAAAGGACCTCCCACCTGCTATCTCCCCGTGCCGCCAACCCCCGCAACGGTCACATTGGATCTAGACGAGCACCTGCACGGGCTTCACGTTGGGGTACGGCTTGTAATTCTCGGCCAGCTGCGCAAAGATGTGGGGCACCTCGGAGCAAAACGAAATGAGATGACAACTCAAAATCCATCCCCGGATGCATCCCGGGTATCCAAACGCACCAGCTTTCCGGTGCCACCCCGAAAGCCAACTTCGTAATGTTGTCTGGACTCGCCCTCCTCTGAGCACCGGCTCCAGAACGATCCCGTTCCAGCCGAACCTGGTGGCGTACTCCCAGATGGGGTCGCCTCCAACGGCGCAGTCTGGCATGTTCGTGCCGCAGTTGCCCCCGATCTGGACGTAATTCACGTTGCTCAGGTCCTTGCCGAGGTACTTCTCCCACTGGACGAAAAGGGGCACGTGGCCATCCTCAATGTGGCATGTCGGTGGGGGGTCCAAAGGGTAAGATCCACCATCGTTCATTGAGCACGTAGTGGAGTGCTCGGTGCTCGTTCCGCTGTGAGTGGTGGAAGGACTGTCAATGATCCCAGCGCCGCCTGATTGTTTCGGAGAAACAAGAAGGTACCAATACCGCTACTCCCCAGACCTCTCCCAGGGTGCGTTCTGACCAGAATTTTGAGGCCCATCCAGCGGTGGCGACGAGGGACTCCCAGGAGGCCCAAAACATGGAAAACGAGGGAAGGGCAACGGTATCGGCACATTTGCCTCCTCAGAGTTTGTATGTCAGCCGAGGGGCGCTGGGGGGAGCGCTGGGAGGCGTCCAGGGCCCCCCCTCCGTCCCGTCGGGGGCCCGCACCCTCCAGCGTGAGGCGTGTGGTCTTGGGCGTCTCCGCGCTCAAATGCTGGGCACGCTTCTCCTTAACCAACATACTGAAAACCGAAACGCTGACGGCGACGGCGGCGTTGCCGCCAGCAAACGTAATTCACGACCCGCCCTCCACACGCTGCGCGCAGAGGCCGCCAGGCCCCAAGAAGGGCGCCCAACTTCGCGCGTCGCGCTGCGCGAAGCGTGACGAGCGCGAATCACCTCGCGCTCTCTCGCGCCGCCCCCCCCAAAAGAGAAGAGAGGAGGAGGAGGAGGAATCGGAGCCGAACCGCGAAGCGCGAATCACTTCGCCCCCTCGAGGGCGCCCCCCGTGGGAAAACGAGAGGAGGAGGAGGAGGAGGAATCGGAGCCGCACCGCGAAGCGCGAATCACCTCGCGCCCTCGAGGGCGCCCCCCCCAGGGGAGAAGAGAGGAGGATGAGGCGGAATCGGAGCCGAACCGCGAAGCGCGAAGCACTTCCCGCCCTCGAGGGCGCCCCTGCCCAACGGTGCCCGTGCTCCGTGGGGATCCCGCCTCGCGCTCTCGGGCGGGGGCCGCTTGGAGCCACCTTGGGCGAGAACGGCGCCCGTGCAGCCTGCCATGCGTGGGCTCCCTTTTGGGGTGAGCGCGTCCTTATTCGGCGCTTCGACACTGGGCGGAAGGGGTCTGGCCCCAGACCTCCTCCTCCTCCTCCTCCTCCTCCTCCCCCTTCTCCTCCTCCCCCTCCTCCTCCTCCTCCTCCTCCTCCTCCTCCTCCTCCTCCTCCTCCTTAGTGCGACGGTGTGGAACCGTGCGTCCTGTGTGGGAGACTCCACCTGCTCGAAGCAGGCGCCAAAAACAGCCGAGATCCACTCCACGGGGGTGGGAGAGGGGGGGGTGCGAGAGCCCGCGCCGATCGGCGAAGCAATGAATTCAAACAAAGATCACGAGCCACACCCCTACAGGGTACGTTGCACAGCGTGTCAGCCCTGAGGGCCGAACAACTATTCGGCAGCGAGCGAGGGGGGAGAGTGAGAAGGAGAAGGCCTTCTCAGAAGGTTCGGAAGCGCCAGGTCTTCTGACAAGTGTTCGAAGCCTTCTCCGAAGACGACCAGATCCTGCCAGAAGGCGCGAGGGCTACTGAGAAGTCCCGCCGCCTTCTGAGAAGGCCTTCTCCTTCTCACTTCCCCCCCCCTCGCTCGCCGCCGAACTGTGCACCGCAACATTCTTGGGTCGAGGATCGACGAGCTGTGCACCGCACCGAACTGTGCACCGCATCGAGGGACGCCACCGATTTGAACTGCAGCTTTTCACAAAGAAGGCCGCTCTCCCCTCCCTCCCATAGACGTCTTACTTGCGTACGGAACGAACGGGTACGATAACCAACAGCACATGCTGTCCAAAACCGAAAGCGGCCGCCGTGGGGCAGCTGGCCGTCTGCGTCAGGGTTGGACCGAAACGTTGGTTTTTGTTTTGCGTTCGCTTTGTTCCCAACCATCCTGTGGTGTTGGGTCCTCGTGTTGAAGAGACGGTCTCCGCGTTCCTGTCATCTCCTCTCCTCCTGCCCTCCTCCTCCCTCCTCCCCCTCCTTGCCTCTGCCCTCCGCATGTATCGGTTTCGGCACGCCCCTCACACGCTTCGTGGCTCCATAGGGAGCTCCACCGGAGGCCGCAGCGCTGACGTCCAGATGCGTCCCCACACCCATTTCGGCACACTCCTCACACGTTTCGGGGCCCCATAAAGAGTAACATCGAATTTCGGCACACCCCTCCCACGTTTCGTGGCCTCATAGGGAGCTCCAGCGAAGGCCCCAGTGCCACCGTCCACATGATTCCCCCGCACTCATTTCGGCACACCCCTCACACGTTTCGTGTTCCCATAAGGAGCTCCACCGAAAGCCCTAATGCCACCGTCCACATGCGCCCCCCACACCCACTCCGGCACCCCCCTCACACGTTTTGTGGCCCCATAAGGAGCTCCATCGAAGGCCCCAGTGCCACCGTCCGCATGTGCCCCCAATGCCCATTTCGGCACACCCCTCACATGTTTCGTGGCCCCGTCGGGAGATCCACCGAAGGCCCCAGTGCCACCGTCCACACGAGTCCCCCACACCCATTTCGGTACACCCTTTACACGCGTCGTCGCCCCATAGGGAGATCCACCGAAGGCCCCAATGACATGGTCCACACATTTCGGCATACCCCTCACACATTCCGTGATCCACATTGTAGGAAGCTCCACCGAAGACCCCAATACCACCGTCCACATACGCCCCCTCCACGCCCACCCTGGTACCCCCCATCACACGTTTCGTGTTCCCAGAAGGAGCTCCACCGAAGGCCCCAGTGCTACCGTCCACATGCGTCCCCCGCACCCATTTCGGCATACCTCTCACACGTTTCGTGACCACATTGGAAGCTCCACCGAAGGCCCCAATACCACTATCCAGATGCGTCGCCCACACGCCGGCGCACCCCTCACATGTTTCGTGGCCTCATAGGGAGCTCCACCGAAGGCCCCAGTGCCACCGCCAGCATGCGTCCCCCACATCCATTAGGACACCACCCTCACACGTTCCGTGGCCCCGTAGGGAGAAAAACCGATGGCCCCAATGCCACCAACCACGTGCGTCCCCCACGCCCACGTCGGCACACCCTTCACACGCTTCGTGGCCCCAAAACACGAAGGCCCCAGTGCCACCGTCCGCTTCCGCCCCCCACACCCATTTCGGCACACCCCTCACACGTTTCGTTGCCCCGTCGGGAGCTCCACCGAAGACCCCTAGTGCCACCGTCCACATGAGCCCCCCCCCACCCATATCGGCAGACCCCTCACACGTTTCGTGGCCTCATAGGGAGCTCCACCGAAGGCCACCGTGCATATGCGTTCCCCGCACCCTTTCCGGCACACCCCTCACACGTTTCGTGGCCCAGAATTGCAGAGAGCTCCACCGGATGCCGCAGTGCCACCGTCCACATGCTCCCCACCCGCCCATTTTTCGGCACGACCCTCACACGGTTCGTGGCCTCATAGGGACAACTCCGTCCACACGCGTCCCCCACACCCACTTCGGCACACCCTTCACATGTTCTGTGGCCACATCAGGAGCTCCACCGAAAGCCACAGTGCCACCGTCCACATGCGTCCCTCACACCCATTCCGACACCCCCCTCACACGTTTCGTGGCCCCATAGGGAGCTCCACCGAAGGCCCCAGTGCCACCGTCCACATGCGTCCCCCACACCCATTTCGGCACACACCTCACACGTTCCGTGGCCACATAAGGAGCTCCATCGAAGACCCCAGTGCCACCGTCCGCTTCCGCCCCCCACGGCAATTTCGGCACAGCCCTCACACGCTTCGTGACCCCATAGGAAGCCCACCGAAGGCCCCAGCGCCACCGTCCACATGCGTCTTCCACACCCATTTCGGCGACCAGTCTCACACGTTCCGTGGCCCCATAAGGAGCTCCACCGAAGACCCCGGTCCCACCGTCCACATGCGTACGCCGCACCCACTTCGGCACATCCCTCACAGGTTTCGTGGCTCCGTGGAAGAAATTTACAATCTCGGTACGCACGACTGCATATGGTTGGGTCCTTCGCCAGAAAAATGTTTCGTCTTGCTCTACCTGTTTTCCTGCACCTCCCTGCCACAACGAAAACAAAACACAGCCGAAGTCCAGCAAGACAACGTTTAGGTCCAGCCCTGGTCTGTGTCAGATGGACAAACTCCACAGGGACACCAACAACGAGTCTGGCTCAAGACGGACAAGCATTGCTGTCGGTCTGCTAGGAGGCCTCCTAGATGGGGGTTGTTCAGATGGGGTCGGAGGATCGCGCCGCACTGCCGATGCATCCCCGATGCTTCGGCGATGCGTCGGCGACATCGTCGATGCATCGGCGATGTCGGCGTGGAGAACATCAGGATCCCAATCGCGCCACATCGCCGAGGAGGCATACCTGGAACAAAAAACCAAAGGCAATTGCACAGGCGTCAAGAATGATCAGAGGCTCCCATCAGAGCCCTCCAGCAGGCCCATGGGAGGCCATCGCATTCCAAATGCTTGAACATTCGGTTGTTAGCCTTGCTGCCACGAGAGTATCAATGTGACCCCATGACATCTGCTACTCCCCTGGATGGATCGACGACCAGCGCCCTGCAACTAGGTGAATCCACAAAACATCGAACTTATTGCGAAAGTGTGCCGATGCGCATCGTTTGTTGTAGTCACGTTCGGTGCGCATGCGTCTAGATCCACAGCTGCATAGATATGTACCTGTACAGATGTGTCGACAGCTATGTATACCCTCCCGCAAACACAAACCTCTGATAGACAAATGTGTGTGACGTGTTTTTTTTTTTCTGTAGGTGGACATACGTCTATGAGGTATGCATGCGCACGCCTGCTGGGCGAACCCATGCAGCAACGCTGCTATAAATGTGCATGACTCGGAGGATGAGGACGACGACGTTCAACGGAGGACGACAGCGGAGACGAACGGCAGCGCCCGAGGATTAGCAG